CGTGGGGCTCCTTCTACGTCCCTCATGTGATCTTGACAATCTTAGACCCTATAGTAAAGGAGAAACTAAACTATCAATATTGCTCAATTAAAATAAAAGTAAAAGTAAGAAGATTTTAAAAATAAGGGGTGCAAAATGCTTACCGGCTACATCTGCCTATATTGTCAATGCGTGGGCCTCCTTCTACGTCCCTGATATGACTATGACAGTCTTAGACCCTATAGTAAGGGAGAAACTAAACTTTCAATACTGCTTAATTACAATAAAAGTAAAAGAAAGATTTTAAAAATATTGGGTGCAAAATGCTCACCGGCTACTTCTGTCCATATTGTCTTTCCATGGGGCTCCTCCAACGCTCACAATACGATTTTAACAATCTTAGGCCCTATAGTGAAAGAGAAACTGAATTTTCAAAATTGTTATATATTTTATATTGTTTTGAAATGCAATTGCCTATGCCGCAGTGTACGATGTGTTGCCTACAATTTCATTAATAAATTCTTTTAAATTAAATGTTTAAACAATTTCTAACACTAGGAAGGTGATTAAACAAATTGTTCACAAAAGTGGATTTCGACCACAGGAGGCATTGGCACTAACAGTTTCGAGCTTACCGTGACTGATAAATGGGAAGAACTAGTTTAAATAGAAATAAAAAGAGGATTTTAAGAATAAGGGTTTTAAAATGCTCACCAGTTGCTTCTATCGATATTTTGCTTGTGTGGGGCTCTCTCTATGTCCCTCATGTCATTTGTACAATTTTAGACCCTATTGCAAGGAAGAAAGTAAAGTTTAAATTGCTTAAGTAAAATAAAAGTAAAAACAAGAAAATTTAAAAAATGAGGGGTGCAAACTGCTCACCGGCTACTTCTGTCCATATTGCCCTTGCGTGTGGCTTTTTCTACGTCTATCATGTAACATTGAGGGTCATAGACCCTATAATAAAGGAGAAACTAAACTTTCAATATTGCTTAATTAAAATAAAAGTAAAAACAAAAAGATTTTAAAAATGAGAGTTTTTCCTTAATTACTACTTAATTATTATTAAATAATTTAACTATTTGTTCGAAAATTTGCATTAGTTATAACTACAACTATGTATAAAATGCTGTATTCGTCAGTTAATAAATAAAAAGGGGAATCTATATAGCCCTGCAATTTTCAAATTTTGTGCTAGCCGTCGACGTTCTACTAATTGTTAGAGGGCGCCAAAATCAGGAGTAATTCTTTTATAATAGTAATTTTGATATTATTCTGTTCGCAATCTAGGTTCGCAATTATTGGTATATGTGTGGTAATATATGTTCTTATATCGCTGTATATATCATTAAATATTTAGTAACGTATATAAATGTATATCAAACTATAATATTATATTATCATTATATGATGTATGTGGAAAATGAAAAATATTAAGTGTAAGGAGTACTAGCATTATTTTAAATATTTCACGGTTTTTAGTATAAAATATATGAGAGTCATGTCAGCTACAGACAGAGTTTCCTTAACTGATGCTTTGTCAAATGTTGATGTCTTGGATGAATTGCCACTGCCTGATGAGCAGCCTTGCATTGAAGCCCAGCCTTGTTCTGTTGTGTACCAAGCTAATTTTGATACCAATTTTGAAGACCGCAATGGTTTTGTTACGGGCATAGCCAAGTATATTGAAGAGGCTACGGTGCATGCTAACTTAGTGGGTATCTAGAGGCTATATAAGAAATGCTGACCATTTTACCTTCAGTTGATTGAGTATTGTGTGTTTATATTAGAAAGTAAAATAGTTTTTGGTATCAATTTTAGAATGAATTACTAGAAGAAGGACAAGAACATGCAGTTATGCTGTATACTTGGCGTTGCTGCTCTCGTGCCATACCTCAACCTAAATCAAATGAACAACCTAATAGGGTTGAGATTTATGAAAAAACCGTCGAGGTCCTAGCTCCTGAAGTTAATAAATTATTGAATTTTATGTATTTTCAAGTAAGTGCAAAATGTACATTATTTTATAAGAATTTTTATTAATAATTTTTTATTAGCGTAAAGCTATTGATAGATTCTCTCAAGAAGTAAAACGTCTTTGTCATACTGAAAAGAGAAAGGATTTTGTGTCAGAGGCTTACTTATTAACCCTAGGAAAGTTCATTAATATGTTTGCAGTTTTGGATGAGTTAAAAAACATGAAATCAAGTGTAAAAAATGATTATTCTACATATCGCAGGTAAATAGACCCATCCCCATAGCAGTTGATACATTTCCATGTAAATAAAAGGGGTCACTACCACCTATTTACTTAATAATAGTTCTTTTTTATTGTTAGAGCTGCTCAATTTTTGAAAGTAATGTCTGATTCTCAAACACTACAAGAATCACAAAATTTGTCTATGTTTTTGGCAACCCAAAATAAAATTCGTGATACGGTTAAGGAAAATTTGGAAAAAATCAGTGGATACGAAGAATTGTTGGCTGATGTTGTTAACATATGTGTTCACATGTTTGAAACAAAGATGTATCTAACACCTAGCGAAAAGCACATGCTGGTTAAAGTTATGGGTTTTGGATTGTTTTTGATGGATAGTGAATTATGTAATATAAACAAATTAGATCAGAAAAAGAAACTGAGATTAGATAGAATTGATAGAATTTTTAAGGTAGTAAACCTTGTAACATACAAGCTAAATATATATGTATTAGTAACTGAAAATACACTTTCAGAACTTAGAAGTTGTACCACTATTTGGTGATATGCAAATAGCCCCTTTTAATTACATAAAGAGAAGTAAACACTTTGATTCGAACAAATGGCCTTTGTCAAGTTCAACAACTCCCTCACCTCAAGCAGATTTAATGGTTCATCTTCCTCAAATTAGAGAAGATCATGTTAAATATATTAGTGAACTGGCAAGATATAGTAATGAGGTGTGTATCTAACGCTTTGTTGTTTTTTCCTTTTTTTTTTTAAGAAGAATTCTTATTTATGTAGGTTACAACTACTTACAAAGAAAGCGGAAGTGATATTGAAAACCATGAAACTGCTGAATTAGCTCTTAGGGGACTTCAATTACTATCTGAGTGGACCAGTGTAGTTACAGAATTGTATTCGTGGAAGCTGTTACATCCCACAGATCATCATCAAAATAAAGAATGTCCTGTGGAGGCAGAGGAGTACGAGAGGGTAAATAAATCAACTGCTGTTTACATTGATTTCGATTCTATATTTTTTATTGTTGTACAATTAGGCTACGAGATATAATTATAGTGACGAAGAGAAATTTGCGCTAATAGAAGTCATAGCTATGATAAAAGGTCTTCAAGTTTTGATGGCAAGAATGGAAACCGTTTTTACGGACGCAATTAGACGTAATATTTATGCCGAATTACAGGACTTCGTACAGCTTGTTCTGCGTGAACCGTTGCGTAAAGCAATTAAAAATAGAAAAGATTTGATTCGCAGTATAATAATGTCTGTTAGAGAAACTTGTGCCGATTGGCAGAGAGGAGTGGAACCTCTTGCAGATCCTGCTTTGAAAGGAAAAAAAGATCCCGACAACGGTTTCGGTATTAAAGTTCCACGTAGGAATGTCGGTAAGGATTTCTTATTTTTAGAAATAAAAAGTCGACCCGCTGTATTGTTCCGATTACATATTTAATTATGTATTAAGGCCCTTCGTCGACACAATTGTACATGGTTCGTACGATGCTAGAATCGCTAATTGCTGATAAATCCGGAGGCAAAAGGACACTTAGAAAAGACATAGATGGTCAATATTTAATGCAAATCGATCAGTTCCATAAAACGTCGTTTTATTGGACTTATTTGCTTAATTTCAGTGGTATGTATACTTGTTAAAATTTTTTGATTTTTACTTAATTACTTTACAATATGATTGATTGATTTAATAATATTCCTTATATTATATTTTTCTTTCTTCATAGAATCTTTACAAAATTGCTGTGATTTGTCGCAGTTATGGTACAGAGAATTTTACCTTGAAATGACTATGGGAAGGCGAATAAATGTAAGTTACATTACTACATTATTATTGGCAGTTTTTGTTTGTTAGAGAAAAAGTATTCATAAGTTTATTCAAAATTAGTAACTACAAACCGAAAATGATTATGCATTCCGTTTTCAAAACTTATATGTTTGTTGAATTCACAAAATTTAATTGTAAATAAAGTTTTTATTCTCACATTTGCTGTTAAATTTTACAGAAATGTGCTGTGCGTCATAATCACAATGAAGAATGCAACGATTTGATCACAATGGAAAAAAGAATTCAATTTCCAATCGACATGTCGATGCCTTGGATTTTAACAGATCATATACTAAAAACTAAGGAACCTTCAATGATGGAGTAAGATGCAGTTATTGTACACTCATTAGTGTAACATTAATCAGCTACAGACAGAGTTTCCTTAACTGATGCTTTGTCAAATGTTGATGTCTTGGATGAATTGCCACTGCCTGATGAGCAGCCTTGCATTGAAGCCCAGCCTTGTTCNAAAAAAGAATTCAATTTCCAATCGACATGTCGATGCCTTGGATTTTAACAGATCATATACTAAAAACTAAGGAACCTTCAATGATGGAGTAAGATGCAGTTATTGTACACTCATTAGTGTAACATTAATCTAATTATTTTAAATTTGTAGATATGTCTTATATCCGCTTGATTTGTACAACGATAGTGCATTATATGCATTGACCATATTTAAAAAACAATTCCTGTACGATGAAGTTGAAGCTGAAGTTAATTTATGCTTTGATCAGTTTGTTTATAAGTTAAGTGAACAAATATTCGTATATTATAAACAACTTGCAGCCAGGTAAAAATGGTTATACTTATAGATACGTATTTAAAACTTTTCTTGCCTTTAGCTATGAAAATTGTTAATTATTTTTAAGCATATTTTTGGATAAACGTTTTCGCGTAGAATGTGCAGCAGTAAGTGCTTATTTACTTCCATATCCTGGTGCGAACCGATACGAAACGTTACTTAAACAACGCCACGTGCAGCTTTTAGGAAGGTCTATAGATTTAAATAAACTTATTACCCAAAGAATTAATGCTGATATGCAAAAGTCGCTTGATTTGGCTATTAGCAAATTTGAAGCAGGTGATATTACTGGCGTTATGGAACTTGAAGGGCTCGTACAGGTATTACTGTGCAAATACAGATACCGTAACTTTTTCTTTCAATATTATCCATTATTTACTGTTTAAAGGTAAACAGATTGTGTCACAAACTACTTACCCAGTGGTTAGCATTAGACGATTTCGATTCGATGTTTCGCGAAGCAAATCATAACGTGTTAGCACCTTATGGCAGAATAACCTTGCACGTATTTTGGGAATTGAATTACGACTTTTTACCAAATTATGTGTATAATGCTGCTACTAACAGGTGAATAAATCATTCGTCTACTTTGTTTATGAACGTTATATAAAATTAATGTTAATTTTTTTTTTCAAAAGGTTTACCAAGTATAAGGGACATATAGCTTTTACAGCACCGGTTCATAGGGAGAAACCTCCCCAAATGTCTCATCACTATCTTTGGGGCTCTAGATATTTAAATGTCGCTTACACAACCCAGTACTCGCAATATTCAGGTGGGTTTTTGTAAGTAAAAATTTTAACGACTTGTTAAATGTTTGTTTTTTTGTTTCATAGGTTTTGTTGGACCTCATCATTTTCATGCAATGTGCAAGCTTCTCGGTTACCAAGGTATTGCAGTGGTGATGGAAGAATTGTTAAAAATTGTGAAAAGCCTTATACAAGGGAATTTACTGCAGTTCACAAAAACTCTGATGGAAGCCATGCCTAAAGTGTGCAAATTACCGAGATATGATTATGGTTCTCCAGGTAAACAAATAAAATACGTAATAAAAAGTATACGGATTCAATCATATTAACAAATCGTAATTTTTAAGGAGTTTTAAGTTATTATCATGCACAATTAAATGATATCGTACAATATCCTGACGCAAGAACGGAATTATTCCACAATTTTCGCGAATTTGGTAACACAATACTGTTCTGCCTTCTAATGGAGCAGGCTTTGTCGCAAGAAGAAGTTTGTGACTTACTACAAGCAGCCCCTTTTCAAAACATCTTACCCAGACCTTTTTGTAAAGGTACATACACAATATTACTTTTTTCTTTGTAACATTATAAATCGGTTCTGTTCGGTTTTTAGAGGGAGAAAAGCCAGAAACTAAACAAAAACGTTTAGAAATCAAATATACTGCCTTACAAATTGTTCCCAACATTGAAAAACTTGGAACTGCTAAGGTAAAATGTACGTAATAGTAGCGATATACATATATTTAAAACGGCATACTTTACAGCAAGCAATGATATCCCGTGAAGGGGATCTATTAACCAGGGAAAGACTTTGTTGTGGTTTATCTATTTTCGAAGTTGTTCTCAGTAGACTCAGAAGCTTTTTAGATGATCCTGTTTGGGTAGGACCACCACCAACTAATGGAGTGATGAATATCGACGAATGTACTGAGTTTCATCGTTTGTGGTCTGCCTTACAATTTGTTTACTGCATTCCTGTTGGTGAAACTGAATATACTGTAGAGTGAGTATGCATATCTTTAAATTAGTTTACTAGTAAGATCAAGAAAAAAACGGGACGCGTTTATTGATAATGGAAAATTTTTAGGGAACTTTTTGGAGAAGGTCTTCACTGGGCGGGTTGTACCATGATCGTACTTCTTGGTCAACAACGTCGATTCGAGGCTCTGGATTTTTGTTACCATATATTACGCGTGCAACGAGTAGATATGAAAGATGAGATTGTAAAAGGAATTGTGAGTTTTATTTTGTCTTATTTATTTGGCATCAAAAAATTGACGAAGCTGAAGCTGAAATGTAGGTGAACTGATGCTGTCCTGATTCGGATCCACATCCAACAATCGGATATGGATGGACTTCTGAAGAAGCTCCCCACTGATGCTAGCGAAACGTTAGGAAGCAACTTCAAGCGACGATGGCCTTAAGATCCGAATCAAGACAGCATCAGTATGAATTAGTTGCCATTGATAAATCATAAATTGAAAATGCAATGAATCTAAGAAACCCCGTATTCTTCAATTTTATTACGAACAATGTTTGACAAAATATATGCGACTTTACAGAGCCTAAAAAGAATGGTAGATAGAATTCGGAGATTCCAAGTGCTAAATTCCCAAATTTTTGCGATTTTAAATAAGTTTTTGAAATCTGGCGAAAATGATGAAATGTCAGTAGAGCATGTGAGATGCTTTCCGCCACCCATGCACCCGTCATTAACGGCACAGCAGCACTATCACACCCCAGATAATTTAAGACAAGTTGTAATGCAATAGTTAATGTAACTTTTATATTTCATTTATATGTGACTTGTTAAAATTGATAAAACCCTTTATAAAAATCTGATTTTTTAATACAATAGATAGGTAGGCACACAATACGTATGTATATTAACATGTAGCAGCAATAGTACTGATTTAGTATTATAATATGATTAACTATCGATAACTGTTCTAATAAATATTCGAAATAACTTAGTTTGGCATTTCTTATACGAACTGGAAAATAACGAGTGCTTACTTCTTACGTTTGTTTTGAGAGCTTGTGAATTATCTATAGAACGTAGAAGAAATGATGAGCTAGCTAATAGGGAAAAATTAATTGCATAAATTGTGTGAGGAATTCATCTGGCGAGCGACCCGGTCTCATATCAAAATAGAATATAACATCGTCTCTCTGTATGCCAATTACCAAACACGATGACCGGAGGCATGCTTAGCGTTATTGGCACCCAAGGCGAATTCTGAACGTGCCGCCCCATTCCTCTATCAAAACGTAATTTTTTTATCAAAATTACACCGCACTCCCGCTTAAGCAATAACTAGTTGCTGTTATTAATTCAAAAACACCACGACATCCAACAAATAATTACTACGAAGCCGTTAACATTTCTTAATCGTTATTTACCTATTAATGTTATTTAGCACGGGATCTGAAGAAAAGATATCGCTTTAAAATTGCACAACGAATAATTTTTTTATTTTCATAAATAAGAATTACATTTGTTACCACTACAAACAAAATACTTAGGTGTAGATTAAAGCCTAAAAATCGCTTTACTTCGTTCCACTAACACTTTTTGCACATTAATTTGACATTAAAAGTTTACACTTGCCCAAAGTTCCTAACGTTAAATCGATCCGAACAATATTCGCGCCAATTACGAAAGAATAAGAAAGTACTAACAATTTACGATTTTATTTATAACAATGGCTATTATTATTACTTTAGGTAAAATGTGCAGAACCTCTATATTATAAAAAATATTCCAAGAATTTAATTCTTAGTTAAATACTGATTTTACATGAACATATAAAATATTTAAGACGATGTGAAGAAATACACATATATTATTTATTATTGCGTTCTTGTTCAATACTGCATTAATGTAGAAACGACAGTTCGGCACTTATCCGATACCTAGTATTAAATAAGGAAATATGTATTACAAATTACAAGTATGAGGTATGTACTATATACAACGACAAAACTGTATTACGCGTTCATCATATAGTAATTAATCAATAACTTACATTAAAAAAGAGAAATGTACAATAGTTAAAGTTAATAGTTCAGTTCTAAATTTTTTCAAAACTTTTAATAATATGTACTATTCAATTAATTTGTATTTATATATTTATTTATATATTATATATGTATATTATTTATATATTTTTTTTATAATTACTTATACAAATGTTCGAAGTCAAATGCTGGAGACCGGTTAATACGATAATTATCGTCTGAACTTGGAATATTTGTACTAGAGTGTGGGCACACTTTTCGGCATGACTAGAGTCAACAAGATGAATCATATCTATCTAACAATTTGCATCTAGAAACTGTACTGATTGATTATATACACTTACATACCAACACTATCTCTTCTTATTAACGAGAGACTTTTTGTTCAATGCTGGCGTATGAGGTCTCGACGCCGGTCTTTTACGTAAAATCGTGTTGCCACCGTCTTGGGGCCCGTTGCAACAGGAACAAAGTTTCTTCACGCTTCGCCTCGCACCGCGCCCACTAACACTACCACCACAACCACCCACCTCCTCGTCCTCTTCACTGCAAACTTCCACATAATCAGCTTGATCTTTAACCAACTCGCCTCTTTCGATTTTCACCAATTTCAAACCGCCATCGTTCTGTTCTTCGTCGGTTTGATGTGCACCAGGACTTTGTCTATAAGTGTTTGTTTTATTTAAATCTACTTTGTTTTCGGCATTTGACGTTTCTACTGACCAATTCTCTACACTTACACCACTATTTGCACGATCGCCTCCTTTCCTTCGATTACTATATTTGTATTTGCATTTATTCATAGGAATTGCGGCATGAGGGTCGTCACAAGATTCGGGTATAACGGGAGGCAGAATAGTTACGTCAGTTATAGAGCCACAATTTTGGAGTAAAGTTGAATCCTCGTTAATCGTTTCTTCTTTTTTACTACCGCATATATTATTCTGGCCGTTCGTAAGCCCATGGCGTCGGTCATATTCCAATTCCATTTCTGTATTCCGATAACCCACAGGATCGTCGAATAAAAAGTCGCTTCTGAACGAGTCTGAATTGTCATCGTCTTCGAACAAACTAATATTTGGCTTTGTTTCGCTCTTCGTGGTGATTTGTGTGTGCTGAGACAGAGACTGATTAGTTTTTTTAATTTCTTGGGAAGACTGGTCGAATGATGGAGAATTATTCGAATCGAAATAAATATCGGCTTCTGGAAATAATTCGCTCGTACTTGGTTCGTCAACTCCTAAATCTTCGCACTCTTCAGAAAGAGACTTTTGTAAACGCAATTCTCTTTCCAGTGCAGCTTGTTTACGTTGTAAAGATAACTGATGAAGTTCACGATCTAAATGTTGAACTCCACCTTGCGACTTTTTATTTTTATTTTGATACGACTGAATACCCACTTGTTTTAGCACCTCTTTGACCTGTAAAAATTTGATGATGATTATATAGGCATACTGAAACATTGTTTTAATTAGTTAATTATTCAATAATTATTAGTCTTAACGTAGCTCAATTTTTTAATCTTGACGATCTGACAACATAAAATCCACGAAAAAAAGCAACGTATTAAAACTCTTTTTTTTATTCCATATTTGTGAATGTAATAGTAGAACAGTTTAAATAAAGGAACTACAAATTTCTTGATAGAAATACGCTTTCGTTCGGTAGTGACGCGTCCAACCCCAAAATTGTTAACATGCGTGCGACAACAATTTATTAACATCAAAAATAAAAAATATTGTTCATGTTCTAATAATGTTGTTTGGAGTTAAAGATATTTTAATTAAAAATGAAATAATCCCTTATTGTAAATACGCATACATACATATGTAATAAAATTCTATTTACATACTTATTAATACGATATACATAAATCGAATAATGCATGTGACATGTGGGCCTTTCTGTTCTGCTACTACATCCGTGAAGAACATTAATTACTCTGCAGTTTCTAGTTCCATTACGAACGCAACGTACACAAAACAAAACAAATACATTTCTACCAACCAAATCAAATCTTTAATTACACCGCCACTATTATATCGTAGTAAAATTGCCTACCCGGGTGATTTTATGTCACCCAATTACGAACTGGTTTAAACAGGAAGGAACAAAAATAGTAGGCACATACTCGGATGCAGACTCTACACCCTAAAACAAGAAAAAATATGCCATGAGGTGGACTGACATTTTTTTTGGCAGAGTATACAAAATTAATTATTTGTAAAATGGGATCGTTTGTAACATTCAAAATTAAAAAATTATTCTATAAACGTTTCGATCTTTTGGTAGTAGTGTGCCTATATTTAATTTGGGCAAAGTAAATAACAATAACTAAAACTCGACATAACAAACGATACCTAATTAAATACACTAGTTTCACTTCGAAGTTTGGAAAAAACCTTGAATCGGCATTATTTACTGTTATTGGTGAAAAACTGAACTATCGAATCTAACACAATACTTGTGTATACTAACTGAACGCATGTACTTTTTGTTCTACTATTACACTTCACATTCATGCTTATACCAAAATATGTTATTATCTATTTTTATTATTGCATCGATGTATACAACTATTTGCAAAGTGAAACGGACCTCGGACACCCGACTGTTCGTTAGAAATTAATTTTGTAGAACTTTCTTGAGAGCTTCAATTCCGATAGTTAAATTAAAAAGCGAGATAAGTAATTTGGAAGTTACCTTTCTTTCTGACGACACAAAGTCCTCTTTTGTTGAACTGACAGCCATGTTCGGTGCTCGAGTGCGTTTTGTATAATTCGGCGTATTCTGACATAACATAGGACTAGTAACACACCCAGGAGCTACTAACACCGACTGAACCCTCTCCTTCCTTTTATTACCTGTTAAAGTTGACAAACAATTACGTTGTTCTCTCATCCATACGCAACGGGTAATTATTATTTTATATAGTATTTAACTTACCGAAATAATTTTAAATAAATATTCGGAAAAAATGGCCGTACCTTTTTCATCGTCATTTCTCTTAACATCTGACTGCGTCGTCGTCGTATTGCCACAATTAGAATCTGCTTTCGATGTTGTACACGTTGTTAATGAAGTTATTTGAGATATTTCACAATTCTTTTCCTCCTTAATTTCTCTACAATTATTTACCACTGACGCGAAACTACTTATTTTATCAGATGAGACAGGATTTTCGGAAGCATTTAACGCATTATTATCCCTCGGATTAGAAATAGCCAAAAAAACCTCTCCGTTAAAGTTATTTACATCAAGTCGCTCCGATTCATTTGCCTTTTTAACAGTAACTGATTGCCCTATGGTAAAGGATGCCAAATTTGGAGTTGTCGGCGGTAATATAATAGACGATTGAGCTTGAGACGGAATTCCAGTGCTAACAGGTTGAACAGCGGAGTATTTTACTGACGAAATATTTGTTTTACGCGACTGATTCAAAAAACTCTGAAAAAGCAACATGTTAGAGCCCGATCTATTGGGAACTGCTGCTAATATTTTGCTGCTTCCAGAAACAACTCTAATCTGCTGACCACTTTTCACCATGGAAACAGGCATTATATAATTTCCAGGCATTAATACTGCAGTATTAGACATTTTAAAGGCTTCTCCTACACTAGAATCGGTTAATATTAAGTTTCTTGTGTGACTGTTTGCCTCCGTTAATATTAGCTGCTGTTTTGGATTTGTAGATGATGATGGTTCTAGATTTTCTGAAGAAATTGGATTTGCCAAAGAAGGATCTTCATCTTGCAATGCTACCTGTACAACACCACACGAACTGTCTTCACTACCTACAGTTCTGGAATCGTCTACTTCGGTATCAGACGTTATAATGCTATTACTGCTACCACCTTGAACACCGACTTTCTTTGTTCCCGAATTTTTCTTTCGTTTCGTGTTTTGACTTGGATTAGTTGGAGGATTTGAACGTCTTCTCGGAGCAGGTTTATTATTTAAATCTGGAGAATTTCGAAGTTGCTCGGCATATTCGGCTAAAATGTCAAAAATTCTCTGAGCTGTATGTTCATCTTCTTGCGGTTTTTGTTGAGGTTTGGGTATCGGAGAAGCCTTTGATGTGTGCGTGGTAACTGCCTTTACACTTTTTGACCTGGAGCTTTTAGAGTTCCCTTTAAAATTTGCACTAGGTGAAGAGGTTACACACGGACTGGCCCTCCCTTGTGACGAAACACTCAATGCTGGAGAAATAGCCGATTGTACAGTGCAGTAGTTGCTAACTACAACTACAGGCGCACAACTTAATTTCTGATTTTGATTTAGATACGTTACACTTATTTGCGGCGGAGACGATTCGATACTTTCGTTCTGTACGGATACTTCTGGAACACAAGTTGTGTTACTTCGTTCTTTAACTTGCTTGTATACCATGTCAAATTCGCGTAATTGTTCTAGAGTAGTAGAACTTAAATTACTTTGAGAATTACTAGTACTACGGATAACATTAGAAGAAACGTGAACCAGAGGTTTTACAATGCGCGCGTTAGAAACTAAAGTTTGCCTCTGTGGCGTAACTTTTATTGTTGTCGTTATTGGTGATTGTGGCAATGAGTCTTCTGAACTGCTGTCGGCTTCCGTAGAATTACTAGTGTTCGGTTGCAGCTGTTGTGGCTGCTGCTGCTGCCTTCCCTGCAAAGCTGCCGCCAAAAGGGCACTCATTTTGTTATGGATTATCGAATCTTTAACCAATGATACTTGGTCAGAATTAGAAGCTGCGATTCGAATTACTTGACCTTTCCCCGGCGGTATCAAGTTTATTGTTTGACCAACTCCTTGGTGACTGTATATAACACTTCCTTGAATATGCTGTAAATTTGGTAGCAGAGTAGTTTTAGCGTGAGATTTGTTCAATGCGCTATTCACGACTTTATCTGTTTCCAATAATGTACGTTTTTCAATTTTTATCTCGTTACTGACACTATTGCCATTATTGTTGTTTTCATTATCAGGTGTTGTTAGTATCTGAACAGCTTCTAAATTTCCTTGGTATGACTTTCCAAATGCCTGCTGAAATTTTGGTAGAGCTTCCGACGACTCCGTTGTGATAGAGTTTGTTTTAATCGGTTGTATCAGTTTCGTAAACGTACTGTCTAAACTGGGACTGCTTATATTGGCATCGTTAGGTGTTGAGGAAGACACCGGCTGTGTTACAGCAACTTTAACTATTTTATTTGGAGTTAACGAAGTAACGGGAATTATTTTGCCGTCAGATGATTTACAAATAAATTGTACGATTCGACTTTGCTCAGCGGACGCACCGACGACCGTCTTCAATGCAGTGGCTGACGTAAGCCTTCCGGCAGTCACAAGCTGAGAAACATCTTCATGACGGCTCGAGACTACCTGATGTACTTCGTTAATCTAAAAATTGAACTAAATTTAACCGATGTTATATAAATAACTAAGAATAAAAAATGTAAAGTTAATTTTACCACGGTAAAGTGATTATACTTTAATTATCATCATTTATCTTTTTTTATAAAACTATGGGGTATTATCAAAACAATTATTTATAATGTAACTTTTGACGCTACATATTTACCTACGAATACATATTTATAATGTCCATACATATATAAAGTATAATATGTACCTGAGTTTCGTTATTAGACGTTGCGGATGCCGCTCGTGACGAACAAGAAACTATTGTGGCAGGTCGAATAATCTGCTGAGGTAAAATGTTGATAACGGGAGGAGCAGTCCTGTTTCTTTGGATGGAATGTGTAGTAATTATGCCAGCCGGTCGAAGTACCGGACCCATTTGAATAGGTCGAATGGTTTGATTTGCATTAGAAGAACGGACTTGATTTTGTAAAATATTTATAATAGTCGGATTGGCTTCTGAAACGGAACTTTTTATGGGAGCTGAAGTGGTCAGAGAGGTGATTACACTCGAAGAATTAACGGGTGCATTGGAATTATTATTGTCTGGTTTATCTGCTCTCGGTTGTCCGACACGCTGAATATGTGGAGTAATTTGAGTACTTGTTAAGGAGTTTTGAGTGGGTGCTGTAGAAATACTGGGATCACTCACTTGAACGACCTGAATTAACGAGTTGGTATATTGCGGCTGAATCATTTCTAAATCATTCAAGCCTGGTACGCCAGACAGCACGGAGTTTACGTTACTTAGTTCTTCACTTGAGTTTTGTTTCGCTATCTTCTTTCTGTTTCCGCCTTTTTCTTTTTCATCTTCATTGTCGCAATTTTTTCTTTTGTGCGTTAATACAACTCCATTATCAACATCTCGATGCAACGAGAACTCTTTCTTGCACTCGGATGTTATTTTATTTAACGTATAAGAATCCTTTTTAGTCATATTATTCTCCTTGAATTCGTTTAAGATGTCCTTATCTGCTTCGTTTAAAGCAATACTGTTTATTACAGTCTCACAACTTTCAATTTTCAATTGCTTAGTGTTAAATTTTATCAAGTCTTCCATCTTCAGATCGCTGTACTCGAAATCCGTAAATAAGTCATTACCTACAGTACTATGAGAACGCCTTCTATTACAATCCTGCTGATCACATTCGAAGTTCGAAGTGGAAAAAGGTGTAGGATTATTAAAAGAATGATAATCAATATTATTTTCCGAGGGGTTCACTAATATGAGATTTGCAGATTCTTTCTGAATGGTGTGTTCAAAAATTTCTGTAGATGTTTGCTCTTTTTTAATAGAATCTTCGGTATTACTAACGTTCGAATTGATTTTGTTGCTACTAATGGTAATTTGTGGTTTTAATATTGTTTTACCACAATAAAACGATTCTTCTCCACATACAGAATTAGGACGTTTTAGTTTGATTCTAGGAAATAGTTTTTCATGACAAAACGACTTCGACCTATTTCGACGCATACGATTTCTATTTTCAGAATTAAACAAAGACGATTCTTCGATAAAATCCGTTTTAACAGCTAACTTTATTTCGTTACAATCATTCTCCACCATTTTAACATTGGTGCATTTCTCATTTTCCTTGTTCGAAGATCTATCAGATAAAACAGCCACTTGCTCTTTTAAATGTTTCAACAAATTAGTGTATCGAGTGTTTATAGGGCTGTCGTCATGTTCACTTTGATTTTTAAATTTCTCTCTCCCTCTATGTTCTTTCTTGATGTATTTTTTATAGGTATTATCGACATGATTTGAATTTTGTGTGGTTTTAGGATTCACTAGCCACCGAACCGTCGACTGAGAGATTGGTTTTTCATTTTTTGAAGTAATATGAACGTCTGCAGCTATCATTTTGTTCTTATTCTGATCTACGGAATTTGCCAATTTAAAGTCGTTTAATTTACGGTCTTCCCTTCTTACAGATAACTTCTCTAAGCTATTGCCACTCACCTTACTGGATTTGTTTGTGTTTTCGTACAAGTTACCGAAAGTTTTTGGTTTTTGATTTTCAGTGATTACCTTTTTTATTTTGTCTGTTATTAAAGCATCCTTTCTATGTATATTTTTGACTTCTGATATGTTATGCGTTATATTTTCTACATCTTCTATGTTTTCTTTTCTCTCTGCATTATTCTCATTTTTTGTCAACTCCTCGAAATTTGGATTTTTCCAGCTTTTTTTTAAATTAACTTCTTGTATGTTTGGATTTTTTATAGTTTCCGAATGAAATTTTGAATCCGACCTTTTGTTAGCAGTATTACTCTCATCAGTCATCTTATTTACTGTATTGTCTATGGATTGGATTCTCTGAAGTAGAACTAAAGGGTTAAGATTATTTCTCATTGGATTAGGAATTTTAACAGTATTCCCATTTAGACAAGCTGTAGAGTCAACGTTTAGTAAGCAACTTCGTGGATCCTTCTCTTCTTTTCCAGAAAATTGCTTTACACAAGAATTTTTAAAATTTCCCTGCAATTTAATCATTTTTCTTCTGGTGTAAGTTGAAGAAGACGATGTTAGTTCAATGCTATTCAGCTTCGAATTTGGAACTAGTATACGATCTAAGACAACTTTAACTTCTTTTAATGGAAATTTTACTAATAAACAGTTTGCATTGTTAACATTATCAACTTCATCACTCTGCTTATCGATCTTTATGTATTTACAATGTGTGCTGCAAAAAGTTTCAAAGTTTTGCACTGATTTTAGAGTACACGAATCTGACAAAGTCTGTAACTTCCCCTTATCAATAGCATTATGTTCGAGTACTGATGTAGATAAAGCATTTCCATTCAACTTTGACGTGTTCTGTTGCAATTCGCTTGTAATTTTGCTTCCTATTTCTTTACTTTGAAAGGAGTCGTCAGAATAAAAGTTTTTTGGAATTTTATCTGAAAAATGAACATCAGTATTAGCAGGTGAATTCGGTTCATAAACTTCGGAGCAACTTCGACTTCTTTTTCGAGAAGATTCAACCACAGACGAAGTCAGTCTTATATTCTCATGAATTTTATCGCCTATTGTTCTTGATGAGAGCAAATGAATTTTATAATTATCAGTAAATTGTTCATTTGTACTACGTGTGTCCTCGTCTTTCTTCATTTTATTAAGACTAATGCCATGATCATTTAAAGAATTCACGTTACCACTATCCATGGTCATCGCGTTTCCTTCAGATACGTTATTGTAAGGAATCGTGTACTGACTTGTACTTGGCGAGAAATTGTTTTGGTTTAAAGCACTAATACTGTCGGTATAATTCCGCTCTTTAAAAAACGCATTTGATAAACATTCAAAGCTGTTTGTATTGTTAAAGAGATTTGATGAAATGGTGTGCACTCTGGATGGCAGCGTGTTGCTGTTGTTTTCACTTCCCATGAATACCTTATTAGATGAAATGTCACTAGTACTACAATTTTCTTTAGTTCGCTTTAAAGTAGGTCTGAACATTCTTAAACTTTTAAGAACGTTAGGATCCGACTGTTTGGATGTAGAAGGTAGAAACGGAAGCAATCTTATCGGACTTTCCCCAGTACCGTCGCTTCCTAGGCCATTACATCGGGAATCTAATGAAGCAGAATCTTCACTGCTACCTATTTCATCGTCTTCTTCGTCCTGCAAGTACATCTCGTAACCCCTTTCGATGCCCGCAAGTTCGTCGTCTTCAGGTTCTTTCTTTATATGAGTAAACATGGAGTAATCGATTTGAACAAATTTCAATTCTTTCACTAAGTTTTTGGTGCGGTCAGGGTCGTTCAGGTACAAAATACATAAATTGTTCAAATCAGCCCACTCTAGTCGCCAGCTTAAGAACTGATATCTAGGACCTGCAATAACGACAGCTAAATCGTCACAAAGCTGGGAACTAAGGCCTAATTCTTCCGAAACTAACGCTTCACATAAAGCGGTATCGGTATTTAAAGCAGAAGGGAATTCAATTTTACTCATATATTCGCCACATTCGCCACATTGCCACAATACTTCGTCAGTATCTTTGGCAGGAGGATGCAATTTACATTTCCATTTTTGTCCGGTATCTAAAACTTCGTAACCGCTGCGTTTTGCTAACATTATAACCCTTTGTATAGTTAGTTCGTTTGGTTGTAAACTAAAGGCAGTCAAAACACATTCCCTGCTCACTTTAAGATGATCGTCCAGAACATCCGCTAATCGTAAGAAACCTGTTGCTAAACGATTTGTTATTTCGGTGACTTTCAAACTATTTTCTTCATTTTTCTGACGCTCCAGATCGTTCATGTCTGTTGTTAATGCACGAATAAAAAGCTCTATCGTGAATGGCTTCATTGTAATCTGAAACTACACAATATAGTAAACAACTTGATGTAAATTAATTTGAATATTTTAAAAATTAGTTTACCTTGTTGTGGATTAGTTCACAAAATATATACATGTGTACTGCAGAGTCGGCGGCTTGCAAAATACGACGAATTGCCTGAGTTAAAGATTCCTCGCTGTTAACATCCAAAGATAACCAGACAGTTAAAAGTTGTTTTAATATTTCTAAACTATCTTCCGGGGGTTTTAAAACAGCAGCTGTTATATAAACTTGAGCAGCTAAATGTGTTATTTTTTTAGAATATCTCCAAATTTTCGAAATGCTAATTCGCTTATTCGAAAAACGCTTAACTAAATCCAAACCCTGCTGAAGCGGCAATGTTTTCAGCTAAAAATAAAATACATAGTCTTTATTTCAATAGTAATAGCACGCACTAGCATATGAAGCAGAATTATAAAACGGTACTGTATATATATTTAACACCTGATAACTTACAATAACAATAATAGTAGATGTTTTTTTGAATTTAAAAAGGAGGGCTATGTACGTATCTAAAATGAAACGCTTTTGATCCTCTGTTGCGTTAATATTGAAATTTTGCTCCTCGGCAACTTTATAGCACTGCAGACAGGTTGTAGCTAAATTAAGAGCCAAGTCTTCACAATGGGATTCACATAGCATTTTAAGTCTCATCGAAATTATATATCCTGTTTCAATTGCGAAAAACTCGAGCTCTAAATAAAATAATTTATTATAATAAAATAATTGATCTTAATCATTATACATTACCTTCTTGGGTAATTACAATATCTGAACGATTGAGTAATCTGTGTAACACATTGTTCCCCCACGGATCTCTTATAATTTCGGCTAATTTTTTGCACCTTAATGAAAAATTTGGATTGTACCTTTTAAAAGCCAACTCACAGTGTGCAACTTCGTTTATAAGAACGTCTTCATAAATATCTAAGTGATGACACATTTCAGAGTATTCTGCTCTATTTTAAAATTATACAAAAAGCATATACCTTTATATTTTTTCCAGTCTCCTGTCAAAATAATATTCAATGTATGGCGTTTAAGCCAATCCATTAAATGAATTACATAATTTTTCTGAGGCTCCACAGAATATAGTCGGGCTTGTTTCCATACTTCAATGAGGCATGGGATTTTTTCCGTGAATGGTGAGCCGCTATTAAGAATTTCTTCAGATTTCTACGAATATAAATTTATTCATAGTTTCACAGGTTCCTTAATTTAATCATTTACAAAAAACCAAATACCTACTATGAAATTTAAAGTACATTTCACATATATTACAAATTTACTTCACGACGAACGTTTGAAAATTGGTTAATGCTTTTATATTTGTTATCATGTATCCCTACTTTCTTATTTACTACTATAAATATTCAATAAAACTGATAATTCAAAATTGAATGATCAAATAAGGAACAATTTATACTTTGTATCTATTTCAGTAAGGTGTTTTTTTAAAACAACACATTTTTTAGATAACTCTGCGTGAAAATTTTGTTGATGTTGAAGAAACTGTTCTGTAAAAATTTAATTTCAAATTTAGGTACGTATAAAACTGCAACGGCACTTGAGATAAAACAAATTAGCTAACATTTTTAAGCAGGAACTTATATCTTACAAACTGGTGCTAAGCAGAACACAATATCTTTAAAAACAGCCGAGTTATTGTAATAAAAATAGGTCATTATTCTGACGTTACTTAAATGGTACCAATTACCAACACATATAAAATTATGCGGACATTTAAAATTATGGCTAAGGACTCAAATCTTAATAAAATTGTCTTATGGTGACGCCCAGCTCTTGCAAAAAATTATACATAAGCAACTGATTAAATTTAATATCTATTTAATTTCAAACAAGAACTGAGAAATTAATAAACTAAATATATACCATGCAATTGTAATAAAATAATTACTTAAAAACAACTTGTTTTTAATTTAAAAGTATAAATGTACAGCTCAGATTGAAGATAAAAACGTTCAAGAAAAACTAACACAGCAAAAACTGTATGCAAAAAAATTGCTGTAGTTACAAAAATACATACATATGTTTGCATTACTTTTTTTAAGTATTTGCTAATAATAAATAAGAATTTTGAATAATTAGATATCAATAAAAAGTTACACTTTGGTCTTCATCTTGCATAAACCAATTTTTACATGTGCTAATATTTTAATAAAAAACTAATTGATTACCTGCAGATTATTATCAATTGTACCAAACAATGTGCCACTTTCTTTTATACGAAGTGCATTTAAAAAAATACATTGAACTATGTTGTAATAATCATTCTTTCACATCAAGTCACTATACAACTTTTATACAGTATGTACAAACTGATTATAATTAATGACTGCAACAACTCTTGTCAATGTATATCTATAAGTACGCTTTTCTATTTATAAGAGAAAGTATTACTTATAAGCTCTTTATAGCCTGATAGAACACTACCATGTTTTGAAGCAAGAGTGATTTCATTTCAACAACTACCAATTTACTTACAAACTGGTAAAAAAAATCTGCTCAACACAAATTCAAATACGTTACTTTAAAGAAAAAAATGCATGTCTTACTTTAACAGCATGTGTGTCACATCTGTAAGTGGTGTAGATTTTACAACAACCTTTTAAATTACAAGCAACAAATCAAATTTAAACTTAAAAATATTTAAATGATTGCTGCTTACTGTAATGCATTAGGAATATAGCTAATCATTTGAAATAATATTTGATGAGTTACAGTCTTGCTTTTACTTGCAATTAAAAAACAATTTTCATTGAAGATTAAACGTTTTTGTGCCCAAAAAATTCTAGCCGAAAGAAGAAATAAGAATTTGGGTTTACATGCATAAAACCACTCTAGCTGTTTATATAATTTTAACTGAACAAAAAAAAAAATAAAAATACGTGCTTTAAATTTCTGAAAAACACATTTATCTCCAGCCGTTAGTGTATTCATTTTGTAGCTAGCTGGGCGACCATAAAGCATACAAACAATTAACCATGGGACACTAATATTCTAAAATACACCTATGCATAGTACTTCATGCTTCCAGGATCACACTTCACGGACATCGGATTTTCTACAAAAATTAAACCTCTTTACACTAGACGCAAAAACAAAAAATCACATTTTAATGGCAACCGAAATTTGTGGCTGTATTTATAACATTCGAAGGAATATGGCCGCCATAGCAAAGAAAACTACACGTTTCGAAAAAAAATTAAACAAACAAGAAAACTAAGGATACAAAAGCTAAAAATATTGTAATTTTCACCTTATAGGCATTTACGATGCTTTTATCAATTTCGTTGTTTATATTATTTGCTTTATGTCCGAGTTTGTTAGCCCCTTTACGAAACGCCATATTCACAACAGTAACATATTCACAACGCGCATGTCCGTGCCAAAATGTCAAAAACTAAAAACATAGATTACACTAAAAACAAATCCCTAGCCCAATTTTACAATTTTAGGCAAATTTTAATAAGTTCAAAGTAAATTTTGTGATAAATATACAAAAACCGTTCTTACTTATTAGTTTTTGATGCATTTAAGTAAAACATATTGTCTAAGGTTAAATTCAATTAATAAAGTAGCTAATTTTTACATTAGCTTGATTTAAAATTGATTTTCAATAAATTAATACAAAAATTAAACGAATACACGCTGAAACACGTCATAGCAATGCACCTATTAATTGTAATCAACTTACATTAAATAAGTGGTATTTCAAAGATTAATAAATCACTCATTAATAATTATTCCATGATCTCTTGAGATCTATGATAAACCTTCATGACAATAATTCCTGACATTTGGCTTTACCATAGATATAGATGAATTATTTCAACGAAAGGCTTAATCACTCAGGCACAAAAGCGGTGCTGGCTGACTGTAGAGTTGGTAGAGTGCTCTGCCGGTTCACTGGTGGCGCTGGTGGCCCGCGTTGTGTTAGCGGCGGATATATATTTATTTACTCTAAGTACATGTAGTTTTTTTTTAACAAATTCTTTTGGTGGATATGATTAAAAGATTCGTACGGTTACGATATGGAAAACTGACGAAGTGAGTGTTGTTACCGTGTATTTCTTTTTGTTCGATAGTTATCTGGAATTTCATAAGTTGCAGCTATCTCTTATCTATGGACTTGAGAACTTGTCATATGCATATCACAAATCTGTCAGATTAGTGGTAAGAAATCATATGTAGCGAATTTGGAAAGAAATTTATATTTATACAATTTATTTAAATAATTTTGTATTTTGTATACAAAATAACGAAATGTTACCAAAACTTAATAGTAAGGATTGTCCACAAGTAAAGTTAAAAGTTTCTCTGGAGATGCTTGCAAGTGGAAATGTTTATTAAATGGTTTATTAAGTTTTAATAAAAGAAACGTTTGTCAGACATGGACGAAGTAAATTTTGAAGAAAAACAACCAACCGAGCAACGATGGGACCCATTAGGTGCTGCGGATGATAGTAAAAATGAATCTGAGCAAAGAGACGAAAATTATGATCGATGTGCTGAACATACCCATTGGTTTGTATTTCTAATCTGTATTTTATCAGTTTGTGTCATTTTAATTTAATTGTTTCTTCGAGTGTAGTGCATCTTTGCAGAGACTACATTCTTTAGAAGAAGACCATGAATTCTTAAACTCTTCATTATTTGCTCTTACAACACATTTTGCCCAGGTGAAGTGCCACGTGTGATCATGTGATAATAAGGCTTTTGTATATTAATGTTTTGTGTACCTAATTTAGGTTCAGTTTCGGCTAAGGCAAATTGTTGAAGCTAAACCAGAGGATAAAGAAGAGTTATTAAAATCTCTTGAAGAATTTGCATTCCGAGGTATTCCAGATATTGATTTGGTTAAAAATCATATAGATGAAACAAACTTAGCAAAAGTAGTTAGAATGCACAGAGTTCAACAACAGGAATTAATTACAAAGTTAAAGACTCAGTTGCATGAATTGGAGCGGTATGCATTTGAGAATGGTGAGGCTGAAGTTCCACAAGACATTGTCTTAGAGCGCCAGAGGGTTATATTAAATGAATTGAAAAATAAAATGAATTTAAAGATTGATGAAAGAAATTACTATCAGGTGTGATAGATGAGCATTACTAATAATTTACAGCTGTGTAAGTTTAAGTGCTGATGTTTTAGTTAACTCCAGCAGATGTAAAACATCAAGTTGATATTGCTTTTGGTCAACTAGTGAACCCCTTACGAATGAAAGAACAGTTAGTAATGCAGCTAAAAACTCAAGTTGCAGATCTAGAACGGTTTATTGACTATCTTCAAGCAGATATTAAAAAACCAAACAAATGTGCTTGTGGATGTTCATTACACAATGTCAAAAGTACCTTAAGAAATGACGCCGATGGAATTGTACAGCGTACTGCATCTCTACTACAAATGTTTGTGATTTTACAGTTTGATTCTCAATTTAGAAAAAATAATTTGAGAAATACAATGAAAGGAAATCATTGGGGGTAGGTCAGAGTATTAATAATATTAAAATTAAAGAAAACATTTGTTCAATATTTTAAGGGATTTAAGAGCCCGATTGGAATTAGCAGTGGTAAAAGTTTTGGAAATGATAAGGTTTCATGAAGACCCAAAAGGTTATGATAATGTTGAACTGTCGCCAGTAAATTATAGTGGAGAGTTAACAAGAGTTATTCGTAAATATTTAGCTACAAGTATTCGTGATCTAATGCAACATGGAGTTGTTCAATCTGGACTCAACCAAAGTCTTGTACCTTTCATAAGTTGTTTTGCAAAGCGTTCTGTAACTTCAGCTAGTCCTGTACATGCCTGGGAGATAATTGTTGAATATTATCGTTTAAAAAATGGAGAGATTTACAACTCTACCCCAGCAAGAAAACTTTCCCAGAGTTTTAATTTAGATTTGGATGGTTCTTTAGCTACCTCAAATAAGCAAAACTTGCTGGCAGTTATAGGAAACATTATATCTACACACACACTTTACAAAAGGAGCTATGATTCCCATTTTAAGGCGTTTATTTGTGCAGCTTTGAAGTAAGTTAATTTTTTTAATTTAGTAGAACAAAACCATTTTCATTATATAAGCACAGTATAAAAGTGTATGTAATAAATACAATTATAAATTTATTTTTTTATTTGCTTTTTTATTTAATCTTTTTCTTTTCCAGTGCAAACAAATTGGTCACTTGGTTTAATTTAATTTTACAATGTCAACCTTTAATATCTATGTATTATATGCCGTGGAGTTACGTGGTGAAAACAGGTATGTTTATGAAATTGTAAGTTTAATTTTTTCATTGTAAACTTTTCTTCATTTATATTTTAGGATTTCGAGACAGTTTCCAAACTTTAGACAAACTCACAAAATATAAATTTGACTTGCCTGTGGATCTGGCTGTCCATCAATTTCAAAATATAAAAGATATATTTACATAATACATTATGAATACATTTCAAACCATTATTTTGCCTGTATGACTTTCTTGATTGATTTAATGTAAAAATACCAAACAAGAAAATAAACGTTTAGTTGCATAATTTAGAAAATATAGTGTATAATATTTAAATCTAAATACTAGTCATCTTTCATTAGTTGTCTTAATTTAGCATCACAAACATTAGCTGTGCTTAGTAATTGTAAACAATTTTTATGAGTAATACATCATAAGCCAAATAAAATATGCGCTTTTCTAATTTGATTATAAATACTTTTAATAAAAGCAAGCAATTTATATTTATACAAGTGAAGTATGAGAACAGTTTTAACGTTTCCATATAAATCGTAGCTTCAAGTATATTTATCCCCTTATTACAGTCAACACAATTAACCGCTGCAATTATAATATCTTTATACTGTTTTGAGTTGAGATGATTGATAATTAAATGTACAAAAGGTGTTATTGTAATAAAATCTTTCCTAAACAAAAAGTGTAATTTTAATTGTGAGTATACAACCCAACATACATCCATACATACGTACTGCATAGTACCTGAGCGAAAGATCTGAGATTAGGTTGCTTGTTACCCTTTTATATTCCATATCTACATATTATATATGTGACTTCTATGCACATTATAGGGTGTGTTTCGAAATATAATCCAGCTTACCGATCAGTGCTGATGACGTCATGAATCGACGTCATACTGTTGATTCTTTCCGAAATATACTGGCCAGTGCGTTGACGTCAAATTAAATTGAGAATAGTGTTTGTGCTCGTTTACAACAATTTTGCTTCAAAAGTTATTAAAGTTTGTTATAATAAAAAATTCCTCAAAGTCTGATGCTCACACCCCTTTGATATACATCTACGTCACACTTGTCCTACCAGTACAATATGGCATCGATTCATGACGTCTTAGCACTGGCCAGTATGCTGGGTTATATTTCGGAACATACCCATAATCAAGTCTTCAATCTATGAGTCAAGTGGAATAAGTTTATCCATAGATTAAAGATATATAATATCTCTTATCTATGAGTGTGTCTATCTGAAGTTGCCGAATAAACTGTTAGTCTATAAAGTTGTTTGGAAATTTGAAATATTTGTTATTAATTAAATTATTAATAAAATGGTTGAAGTTTACATAGTTGCTGCTCGTAGAACACCAATTGGTAAACTTTGAATGAGTAAGTTGATATGAATTCGTTAATGTTTTAAATTTTGTACAGGAAATTTAAATGGAAAACTTTCTCAATTACCTGCACACAAATTGGGTTCATTAGTGATAAGGGCTTGCTTAATCGATGGTAATGTTGGATTTGACGAAGTCAATGAAGTTATTATGGGACAGGTATGTTTAGTGTTGTTTTTAGAATTAATTTTAAGAAAACATCAATTATAGGTTCTTACAGCAGGACAGGGACAAAATACTGCCAGACAGGCTGCTATAGAAGCTGGCCTATCAATATTTGTGCCTGCTTATGTAGTCAATATGTTATGTGGCAGTGGATTAAAGTAAAAATAAAATATGTTATTGAATAACATTCTAAAGTTAAATATGTTTCTAGGGCAATATGTCTAGCATATCAGGCAATTTCCAATAAGGATGCAAGTATCATAATAGCTGGGGGGCAAGAAAGTATGTCAATGGCTCATCATACTGCTTATATGAGAAATGGTGTGAAATTTGGTGACTTACATTTGAAGGATTCTGTTCTTGTTGATGGTCTTATGGATGCCTTTAAACATGTTCACATGGGTAGTACAGGTAATTTTGATTTTTTGAATTCTATTTATGGTATCAACAAATTAGGAATTTATTTTGAATTTTTACAGCTGAATATTTGGCAAGAAGTTACAAAGTCTCTCGTGAACTTCAAGATAAATTTGCAGCATTGTCTCAAAATAAAGCAGAATGTGCAATGAATGCTGGATACTTCAATGATGAAATGCTCCATGTTTCTCATCCAGATAATCCAGCTAAAGAAGTTAAAGTTGACGAATACATAAGGCATGGAACAACCTTTGAAAAACTTGCCAAATTAAGACCAGTGTTTGAGAGTGATCTCAGTAAGGTACCTATAAAATTTGTCTTTGTGTTTTTGAGTAGGTACATTAAATATTAAAATAATTTAGAACCCATCAGTAACAGCAGGCAATTCTTCTGGTATCAATGATGGGGCAGCTGCAGTACTGTTGGTAGATGGGGAAACACTCAAAGCCAAGAATTTGGAGCCCATTGCAAAAATTGTAGGATTTGCTCAATGTGGTAAGTTTTAATGTAATTGTAACTGTTTTTAACTTTAAAACTGAATATTGAAATTTGCAGGTATTGAGCCAATGGAAATGGGACTGGGGCCAATAGACGCTGTTAAAAAACTGGTAAGAAATTGTTCAGTTTTAAAAATAATGATAGTAATTCATTTCTATTATTTTCATTTAGGTGAAAAAGATCAATTGGACTCTTGAAGATGTTGATCTCTTTGAATTTAATGAAGCATTTGCAGTTCAGTCGTTGCTTGTAATAGAAAAACTGGGGGTTGATGTAGAGAAAGTAAATATTAATGGTGGTGCAATTGCATTAGGGCATCCCATAGGCTGTTCAGGTGCCAGAATATTGGTCACTCTCTTGCACAATTTAAAAAGATTGGATAAATCTAAAGGCATTGCTGCATTGTGTATTGGTGGCGGAATGGGCATTGCTATAGCTGTTGAAAGGCAAGTTCTTATTTAAGTAGTTCAGTATTCTGTCTTTAGTATTATTTTTTTTTTTTTTTGTGGTTAGGTTAGGTTAGGTTAGGTTAGGTTAGGTTAGGTTAGGTTAGGTTAGGTTAGGTTAGGTTAGCTTAGATTGCGCTGGATTGACTTGGGTTGGAGGTTATTATTTTTTTTTTTTTTTTTTCTACAAAAATATTTTTGGTAGCACTATTGATCGCTCCTAATCACTCCTAAAAACAGACAAATGATTTAGATCTGTCGAGATGTTCTTTAGTTGATGGTAGACAAGAAAAAGACGCAGAAAAAATCGCAGACACTAGTGTTTATTTGTCACTTCACTTTCTTCGGATTGTGACCCTCGTTGATGGTGTCTTCATTTACATCACGAAAACTAACAAGATTCTCTCCACTATATCACTCTATCTTGATTTTTATAAACTTTTGAGTAATTTATATGAATGTTTTTAACGGAGCCGATGTGAACCGTAGCACAGTTGCGCCCTCTCCCATTATAAGTTTTGGAAGCCCCCGTAGAGGCTTCCAAAAATTGCCTTAGTGCACGGTATTTCACGTGCCCTAGGCGGGGTATTGGTTAAAGTTTTCAACTAGCAATAATCGCACCTCGGATAAACCTCATTGGTTACGATATCGCCACGTTGAGGTTAGCTACGCCGGGATTTGTTTCAGCAAGTAGATATCCATATATTTAAATGGACCTTGTTGGAGCATACGTAATCCTAAAATGTAGCATCGTACTACAGATGGCGTTTACNTCAGTTTGTTAAAATAAAATAAAAAGAAATATGCTTTCGTTTTACTATGTACTTAATGATTTTCTAAAGAATTAATAAATATTAATAAGAAAGTGTGAATATGCAATTTTTTACTGCGAATCAGCAAAAAGGTAAAATTTTAAATATGAAAATTTCAACTTTTACAGTTATTTTATTCTAATCCTAAGTATACTTGTTTTATTTTATTGTTTGAAGAAACAGAAAATCAAATTGATTGTTTTATCAACATCTCTCAGCCTGTCGTAACCGCCTTATGCACGGGAGACACTATCATAAAATTATGTAGCGTCATCGTCATTCGTTAACTAAACAAAGAAATTTAAGGTTAGATCTCAAATGCACTATTTTCGTTAGTCTATAAAGTTGTTTGGAAATTTGAAATATTTGTTNAACAGAAAATCAAATTGATTGTTTTATCAACATCTCTCAGCCTGTCGTAACCGCCTTATGCACGGGAGACACTATCATAAAATTATGTAGCGTCATCGTCATTCGTTAACTAAACAAAGAAATTTAAGGTTAGATCTCAAATGCACTATTTTCTGAAGTCAAATAACTGATAAATTTATGATATTCGGTGAATTGCAGTCCATTTGAAGTAAAAAAGTTAATTATCTACTTTGTTTTTAATACACATAATCTTTCATAATTTATACAGTGAATAATTATGGCAAACGTTGCTGCTAATAAAATCATTCCTAATAAAGCAGACAGTAAAGTAGAAGATGAGAAAAATGAATTGGTAAGTGAATAATCCTTTTATTAAAAACTCTTACAGTACTTTTAATTCAACAAGTTGTTACTAATCTATGATTCGTTTTTATCAACCATTCATTTCAAAATGTACAAGGTGTGTCTTTTGTGTTTATTGAATTAGACTGAAGAAGATAAAATCCTCCAAGAGGAGCTTAATTTGTGCGTTGAACGTCTTATAGAAGATGACGAGAAACTGTATTTACCTGCTCTTCTAACATTAGGCAAGTTAATACGTGCCTCTACAACATCAATGACCTCAGTGCCTAAACCGCTGAAGTTTATGAAACCACACTACTCCACAATGAAGGATATTTATAGTAAATTACGAGAAGAAGAAATAAAAAGAGTATGCGCTGATATTATTTCAGTCCTTGCAATGACAATGGGAGAAGGAAGGGACTGTTTAAAGTATAGACTTCTATCAGATTTAGATCAAATTGGTGATTGGGGTCATGAATACATTAGGTAATATTTCATGTTGTATTCTTTTACAATTATTTAGTAAATATACTTTGCTTTCAGACATTTGTCAGGAGAAATTGCATCAGAATGGACAGAAATATCAGGTGAAGGTGAAGATGAAGTTACATTAAAAGACAAACTTATCCAATTGGCTTGCCAAATTGTCCCATATAATATGAAGCATAATGCTGAAGCTGAAGCATGTGATCTTTTGATGGAAATTGAAAGACTCGATTTATTAGAGAAATATATAGATGATAATGTGTATCAGAGAGTTTGTTTATACCTCACAAGGTTTGTTCTTTCTTCTTAACCATTAAGAAATAAAATCAATAGTAATAAATTATTCCTTTCGATTGCAGTTGTGTTCCCTATGTTGCTGATCCAGAAAACACGACTTTGCTACAAACTACACTACTATTGTTAAGAAAATTTAATCAATATCCACAAGCTTTAAGAATAGCTATGCAATTAAACGATCATCAGTTAATTGAGGAAATATTCTTATCATGTCGTGATGTGTAAGTAATATGCTTATTACTTATTATAATAACATATTCTAGATACTTTTTTCTCCAATAGAGCTGTGCAAAAGCAACTAGCTTTTATGTTAGGAAGACAACAAATTTATTTAGAAATTAATGAAAGTATTCCTGATTATGATGATTTGGTTGAGATAATGGCTAACTGCCACCTGAACAACCATTTTCTAAATTTAGCAAGGGAGGTGTGTAAGAAACCTTGACAATAATAATCATTAGATTAATTAATGTATGTTTTAGTTGGATATAATGGAACCTAAAACACCTGAAGATGTATACAAGTCTCATTTAGAAAACAGCAGGCCCCAGTTTGGTGGTGGTCAAGTTGATTCTGCAAGACAAAACTTGGCTGCAAGTTTTGTCAATGGATTTGTTAATGCAGCGTTTGGTCAAGACAAATTACTGATGGAAGATGGTAATAAATGGCTTTTTAAAAATAAAGAGCATGGAATGTTAAGTGCAACTGCCTCCCTTGGTTTGGTTAGTATGACATTGCAGTAAAAGACTCAAAAGTTACAAAATGATGTAATTTCAGATATTACTTTGGGATGTTGACGGAGGATTAACACCAATTGATAAATATCTTTATTCGTCAGAAGATCATATCAAATCAGGTGCTTTACTTGCATGTGGAATCGTAAATTGCGGCGTACGCAACGATTGTGACCCTGCCCTTGCTCTTTTGTCTGATTATGTTTTACATGTTACTAATGTGATGAGAATTGGAGCTGTGCTTGGTCTGGGTCTGGCTTATGCTGGCTCCAACAGGGAAGCTGTGCTTAGTCTATTAACTCCCGTTTTTAGTGATCCTAAATCTAGCATGGAAGTTATCGGAATGGCTGGATTAGCCTGCGGAATGATTTCTGTAGGTTCTGGAAATTCAGAAGTAACAGCTACAATAATGCAAACACTCATGGAAAAAACAGAAACCGAATTAAAGGACACTTATGCAAGGTAGATTATTCGTTTTTTTCTTAGTTTATTTTTTATTAAACAATAACTATATAAATTTCAGATTTCTTCCTCTTGGACTGGGACTTTGTCATTTAGGGAAACAAGAAGCAATTGAAGCTATAATAGCAGCCCTAGAAGTCATTCCTGATCCATTTAGATCAATGGCAACAACATTGGTGGAAGTTTGTGCCTATGCTGGTACAGGGAATGTTCTTAAAGTACAACAGTTACTCCATATTTGCTCAGAACATTATGATTCTCAAGACAAAGAAGACTCATCACGAGATAGTAAAAATAAAGATAATAAAAGCAAAGATAAAGAAGAAAAAGTAAGAATATAATATGTATTTTAATTGTTGTCCACTTTTGCTCACGAAATTTTTATGGGTAGTGTATTAATGAGGATCTTGGTGAGCACAACAAAACAGACATAGATAATATTATTGAAAATGTGTCAGGCTGATGGAAAATTTTACATGTATACAGGTTGACAACTGAGTAAGGACTAGACTGGCAACGTGAGAAGTTCTGCTCTCGTTGTCTGAAATAAAATTGTTTATAAAACATTCCATCAGCCTGCCTGATGAGGTTCGGGAATTTCGAACGAAATGTCACAGAAGTACAGACATATTTTCAGTAATTTTGTTTATGATTTTTTTGTGCTCACCAACATCCTCATTACATACAAAATTTAGGAATCTAAGTATTGTAGTGTAATTGAAATATGACTGATGACATTGTTCTTTCAGGAAAAAGATCTTTCTGCCAGACAAGCCATAGCTGTGATCGGTATTGCTCTGATAAGTATGGGAGAGGATATAGGAAGCGAAATGGCATTCCGTACTTTTGGTCATTTGTTACGATACTGTGAACCAGTCATACGAAGGGCAGTTCCTTTAGCTTTAGGATTAATATCCGTATCGAATCCTAAATTAAGTATTTTGGACACATTAAGTAAATTTTCACATGATAGCGACTCTGAAGTCGCCCACAACGCTATTTTTGCCATGGGACTCGTTGGAGCTGGTACAAATAACGCCAGGTAAAGAGGCAAAATTTACAGGATGTTTCATACAATAATAGTAGATGTTATTCCTCATTTAATAGTTTAAAAACGTTTTTTATAGATTAGCAGCAATGTTAAGACAATTAGCGCAGTACCATGCAAAAGACCCTAACAATCTATTTATGGTTAGAATAGCTCAAGGTTTAACTCACCTAGGTAAAGGAACTCTAACGCTGTGCCCCTATCACAGTGATAGGCAACTACTAAGTCCTGTCGCTTTAGCTGGTCTCTTGGCAACCATAGTTGGATTTTTAGATGTGAAAAACAGTAAGTTACTGATTATTAATTATCTTATGAAAATTATTTTATTAATGAGTAGAGTACCGGATTCAATGAGTGTTGTAAGGTTTTATTTAATTCAGTGTAAAACTGGCACCAACATTTTGCATCTTATTGTGAGGAACAAATTTCAACTAACTAGAAAACCTAGTAACTGTCCATACAATTCATATATATGTAATGTTGACAAGTTTAGACACCTTGACCTTGATAAAGTCTCACAACAAGAGGCGAAGTGTTGGTATTGATTGCTTATTGGATTAAATAAAACCTTACGACCCTCATGGCTCTGATCCTTTACTCATATCCAAATTAAAGGAAGAAATTTAAAAAAAGAATTTATTAATAATGTTTTTTTTAAGTTATTCTGGGAAAGTCGCACTATCTTCTGTATACTTTGGCAGCTGCAATGCAGCCAAGGATGTTAGTTACATTTGATGAAGATTTAACACCTTTACCAGTACCAGTTCGCGTAGGCTTGGTAAGTAATACTTCTTGATTATAGTAGTAATTGAAAGTTCACTGAGCACTCATTTTCAGTGAAACCGTTAAATAGTTTAACTTTTACTAAGTTTTACTTGGTTACATGCATACATGATTTCTTAAATTATATAATAAAATTTCTTAAAAATTTTAAAAGTAAATCAAGTCATCATAAGCCTATCACAAGTGATCAAACAACATTTGGGGTCCCCCTCTTTTAAAGGCTACACAATAAACAATAAAAATTTATAAATTTAAAACCAATTTGATTTAAATTAAATCTAAGTTACAGTTATCTGTTCAACTAAGTAATACATTTTTATGTTGTAATAGTGTTTTTAGAATTTGAGACAATTAATTATATTTTTTATAGGCTGTTGACGTTGTTGGCCAAGCTGGTAAACCAAAAACGATAACTGGTTTCCAAACACATACAACGCCTGTTTTGCTGGCTTATGGAGAAAGGGCCGAGCTGGCAACGGATGAGTATATTCCTTTAACGCCTATAATGGAAGGATTCGTAATACTAAGAAAAAATCCAGAACATAATCAGTAGTGATTGTAATTACAATACTTCTGTTATTAATTTTGTTTCATTTATGTATTTTTGTCGTGAATAACTGCAATTGCTTTTATGATACTAATAAATAAAAATAAATTAACATTTTTATTTATTTAGTAAATCCCTTTTAGCGCCTGTAAAACAGATCTTGACGATGTTGTTCCTTTTACACTGCCAACTTTTTCTTTTGATTTTTATTAATATTTTGAAAATAATTTAATGTCATTTAACAGTTATTAATATTGACAAAAATATCCATTCAATAAACTATGGTATTTTAAACATTTAAGGACAAAATAAATATTTATTTTCTATTTTGTTTATGTTACCCGTCTGACACCTGTGTAGTGCAAATTGTATATTCTGAATTCAGTTTTTAAAGGTTTTACAGCTGTATTTATGTCACTGACAATAAAATGTTGATGACGAAGTTGTGACGTAATGTAATAATAAATAAATGTTATAAGGTTAGGTGGAAAATATTTTGTATTTTAAATAACTATCTTATTTATTTCATGTCTCCAACCACAATTATCCTTAATCGCTAATTATTTGTAAAGCTATTGTTAGTCATCAAGATTGTAGAACTATTGTAGCCATAAAAGTATTGCTTTTTATTTTTGGATGTTATGTCCGGTTATGTCTGCTAATTTTAACTATATATCTTCAAAAGTATTTTGATTTTAGTGGATTGGCTTTGAAAAAATAACCGATTAACGAGGTTATTTCATTCTAAGGTGAATGGTACAAATAAGGAAAAAATTCATGTATACAAATGATGTAGATATGGCATGTTATTGGTTACATGTAAATGATACACTGATTAAAATACCAGATGTGAGTGAACAGGATGGAATTATATTCTATAATGTAGAAGTGAAGATTGGTGAGGTGAAATGGAAAATTATGAGGCGCTATAACGATTTTTTCGAGTTACATCAGCAGTTAGTAAATGACCATGGAGTGTCAAAAGATCTGCTACCTCCAAAGAAAGTAATACTAAATAAATCAAAAGCTTTTATAGAGAGCAGAAGAGAAGCTTTACAGATTTACTTGCAAAAGCTTCTGCAATATTTGAAAAGTGCAATGCCTAAAGAATTTTGGGAGTTTTTAGAGTTTCATGAATATGACATTTACTTTATTCTACAAGGTATGGCAATAAAACTCTCTTCAAATTCATTCAAGATGTCCTCTGAGAAAGAACACGAGTTTACGCCCTTGCAGGTATATAGTATGTTGTGTTTTTAATATGAACATTAATGGTAATAATTTTTTTAGTTACATGCTATAACTAAGTGTCTTAAACAAGCAGTTTTAGAGTTTGATCGAAATGGTAAAGATTGTGATTTGAGCAACATTTTAGATTTCTTTTCAGAACTTAATAGTATGGTATTGTGTGGTAGTGGTACATGTTATAAAAATAGTAACATTATACCAAATAGTCTTCCATTTGAGTTGTCTTCGTTTAAGGTAATTATTATTTTGGGTTACATACATATTAAACTTCATTTGAACATATATTAATGATTGTAACTTTTTTCTTAAGTATCTTGAAAGTTTAGTTATATTTAATGTTAACTTGGATAATATATACTGTGTGGATAACTTGAGAAATACTGTTAAAAAATTAGGAGTGCATCAGACACAAGCTACAAAAATTTCAAACATATTACAGTGTGATACTGTCCATAAAACAGTGGTTGATGAGAAACAAGTAAGTATAAATTATGTCTAATAATAATATACATGTTTATTGTTGTGTTGTTTGTATTTTTCAGAGTTGGAATAAATTAGTTGAAATAGATTTCACATGTAATGCTATTTCAGAAGTGGATGGCTCAGTTGGATTAGCCCCGTTACTAACCACTATGACTCTCAGTAAAAATAAATTGACGTTTTTTCCTGACCTTTCTTGCCTTACTAATTTAAAGGATTTAAATCTCTCAAAGAATATGATAACACATTGCGAAAATTTGCATACAAAATTAGGAAATGTTGTAAAAATTGATTTAAGTCAGAATAGACTGACAAATTTGAAAGGTTTTTCGAAATTATATTCCCTAGAAAGTTTAGATATAAGCCACAATAGCATTTATAACATCGAAGAGGCTAAAAACATAGGCGATTTGCCATGCTTAGAAGATGTTGTTTTAAATGGTAACCCTGTGGCTGCTATAGTAGATTACAGAATTAAAATACTTGAAAATTTTGGAGAACGAGCAAAAGAGATTTGTCTCGATAATGAAATGCCGACGCAATCTGAACTTGATAAAGCATCGGTTTTAAGAGCATTAAAACTGGCTAAAGATAAAAATAGATCTTCAAAAAATGAAAATTAATTGAACTTTTTTTTGCTGTTTTTATTAATGGGGGTTTAGTCTTTATTTTTGTATTTTTTTTAAATACTCTCAAAAATGTTTTTATTTACTTATAATTGAATCAAAAACGGAGAATATTTACTACCTACCTCAAAAGTCATAGTTTATAAAAAAAATTCAAATATTTTAATGAGTGCTGAAATGTGATAATTAGTATATATGATTTGTTATGCTTTAAGAAGGAATATTATAATAAGTTGTTGTACATGTATGAAGTATTTGTGTAAATTATGTAAATTATTTTAATTAATGATAGTAACTCTTATTTAATTTTAAAATGTATAAATAGGCTTAGGAGGCAGACATTAAATCAATATTTTAAAAGGTTAAGAGTGTATGTAGCTATAACTCGGAAAAACATTTTCAGATCCTAAAAGATAGATTTTTCAATTTGTTTTTTTGTCTTGTGACCATCTGCGAAGCATCAAAGTTCAGTTCGATAAGTACGATAAAATCATCTTAAGAGCATATTCATTGAACACTTCTTGGTGAATACTCAATGAAACAGGTAAGTTTTCGTATGGTATGCCTATGGTTTATTGAGATTAACCATAGGAGATTAACATTGACAGTTGAGTGAAGAGTCCGTAGAAAAATGTATGTTGTTCAGTGAATATGGGTTTATTGAAATCTAATCTTATGAAATTAAAACATTCAAGAACTTTATTGTGAAAATGAACATTAATTCCTTTATTATTTCAGTGCTAGTGTCGGTAATCTGTGTATTAATATCACTTTTGCAACATGTGTACTTCAATTATAGGAGAGTTACCGAAATGAAACTTTATTATAAACCTGTATTTGAAGATTTAATTCCTTCTGACAAAGTTAAGAATTTTAAAGTCCAAAAAGACAAAACGTTCGGCAGGAATTCGGGATCGAATGTTTTAAAATCACTGCATGCCAGATTGAAATTTCCCATGGCAGATACTTTGAAGAGACCTGCTGTCCCTTTAAAACCTGAAGCTGGTGAAGCAACTGAGAAAGAAGTGTATTATTCCGTACAAGCAGCGTTAAAATTTAAATCATTTGGAAAATTGGATAAAGCTTTAAAATTGTTTGAACATGCAGCAGTAATAGCTCCAAATAATCCAGATGTTTTAAATCGTTATGGTGAGTTTATAGAGCAGATGCTTGAAGATATTGTTTCTGCAGATGAGTTGTATCTCAAGGTATAGTATTATATTAAGCAAATTAAAAATATTTAACACACTAAAACAACATTATGGTAGGCATTAACCCAGTCACCAAATCACAAAGATGCCTTGATGAATCATAAAAGGACAGCTCACATTGTAGACCAATTAGATTTGGAAGTTTTGGAAAATATTGACAAAAAGTGTGAAATGTTAAAAAAACTTCAAAATAGTGATCCTGCCTTTGAAGATATTAAGAGACAGGCTTTCTATTTGCACATATATCATACGGTTTGTTTTTGTATATGAAAGATAATTGTTAAATAAAATTTTAAATTTTGAAATTTAAGGTGGGTATAGAAGGGAACACAATGACTGTGGAGCAGTTACGATATTTATTAGAAACTGGAAATGCTATTGCTGGTAAAAGTATAGTAGAGCACAATGAAATATTGGGCCTTGAATTAGCAATGAATTATTTAAAAATACTAACAAGATTTCCTGTTATTACTGTGAATGAAATAAAGGGAATACATAGAAGGATCATGGGACATGTTGATCCCCTAAATAGTGGTATATTTAGAGACAAGCAAGTGAGAATAAATTGTGGGAATTGGTTTCTTAAGTTTTTGATAATGCAGCATAACTATGTTGCAGGTATTTGTGGGTTCTCATAAACCCCCACCCCCTGATGATGTTCCTAAACTGATGGAAGAGTACGCTGAATGGTTAAATTCAGAGGATGCTGTCAGCATGCATCCAGTCAGGTTAGAAATATGTTATGTATCATTTAAAACATTTATAATGATTTCTTTTATTTTGTTTTAGATATGCTGCCTTGGCTCACTATAAGCTTGTTGACATTCATCCATTTGGCGATGGTAATGGACGCACCAGTAGATTAATTATGAACTTAATTTTACTAAGGGCTGGTTACCCTCCTGTGATAATATTAAAAGAACATAGGTAAATATATATATATATTAACAATACATTGAAATGGCGATATAATTAGTAATAAGTTTTTAATTTTAAATGTTTCAGACAACAGTATTATGATTATTTGCAATTGGCCAATCATGGTGATGTAAGACCGTTTGTACGGTTTATAGCTCAGTGTACTGAACATATTTTAAATATGTACTTATGGAGCCTTGAAAATATTGGACGGCTGTCCGATACATACGGAGATCTTAAAGTTATTGACACTAATGATCAGAAAAAGTCGTTTGAAACAGAAAATAGAAATTTATGAACAATTTTTCAAATGCTAAAGTAATGTTGTTAATCTATATATTCCATTTTTCTATTTATTGATTTGTTGTTAATGTTGCTAATTTGATTCCAGACTTTCATTAAATTGGTCTATATTTTTATATTGATGTATGTATATAAAACTTTAAAATACGATATTATGTGAAGTTTCTTCTATTGAATTTTAAAATATGTATTTGTCATTGACGAATTCACTTTGTGAAGTAATTTATTGAGAAGTAAAATTCTAATTGTCAAGTATTATTTAATTATTAGTTGATTGCATATTTACACAGTAAAATGTTTTTTAAATGACAGTAATGTTTGTTTTTTAATTGTAATCATTTAACAATCAACAGTCCACAGTTTTTGTGTGCTCTGGAAATGACAATANATCTTTAGATAACTTCAATTTCTTAGACATTTGTAATTTGCTTCAGTAGACAACTTTTAAACAACGTTTCAGAAATGGCAGAAGCAGAATTAATGTGGAACAGATCTTTCCATTAGTGTGCATGTTACTGATTTATTCGATTTAAAAATGGTAATTAATTACTTTTTCTTGCCTGTTTCTATATAGATTGTTGTCCCACAAATGAGAAGGAATTGCAGTTACTTTTGGTGCTACTAAAACAACTGATGCTTTTGACGTCTTCAGCTTGCAACATTATGCAGTTAATTTTTGCCGTAACAATGGGAGGCAATTGGAAGTTAATTAATTTGGATGCAACCGGAACAAGAAATTATCTGCAGTAGTATCCCTCCTAGATTTGGTTGATTTGCTCATCACACTGGTATACTTTAGAACGCCACTTTCTACACTTAATTAAGGTGAGAATACATAACTTGATCAATATTAATTACTAAAAATTATGATGAATGTATAAAAATGTAATGAAGAAAAAAAATCTTTTGGTACAAAATAACTGCAATATGTAGTTAGTTGGTTGCCTAATAACTTTATAAAAGCTTAAAATTCTGAATAATTAAAATCATTCTGTGTCGTAAATTATTCATCAAGGTTATTAATAATTCGGCTATAGGAGAATTGAACCACAGAAACTGTTTGTTAATATTACTATATGTAATTACTAGAAAAACTTTAATTGCGTACAATTTTTTAAAAAATAACAATAAGGTAGTTCTAAAATGTTATACTGCAATTAGCTAGTTTCTTAATTTCGTTCGTTTAATGTTTAAAAATTCAACTTGTTCATTTGGTCGAATTTTATAATACCCAAAAATGCATATATGTATATATATCTTTAAGAGTAGTGATCAGGCGATGGAACTTGCACGAAGCAAAAACGCAGATAAATTGAATTCTGTAAAACTGGGATGAAACTAAGCACGCGATTGGTTACAGCGTCGCAGACATCGAAATTAACGTATCTGATTGGTGTTTGCTACGTCATCAGTGCTTCATGTGGTAGCAATCGCNGAATTAAACCACAGAAACTGTTTGTTAATATTACTATATATAATTACTAGAAAAACTTTAATTGCGTGCAATTTTTTTAAAAATAACAATAAGGTAGTTCTAAAATGTTATACTGCAATTAGCTAGTTTCTTAATTTCGTTCGTTTAATGTTTAAAAATTCAACTTGTTCATTTGGTCGAATTTTATAATACCCAAAAATGCATATATGTATATATATCTTTAAGAGTAGTGATCAGGCGATGGAACTTGCACGAAGCAAAAACGCAGATAAATTGAATTCTGTAAAACTGGGATGAAACTAAGCACGCGATTGGTTACAGCGTCGCAGACATCGAAATTAACGTATCTGATTGGTGTTTGCTACGTCATCAGTGCTTCATGTGGTAGCAATCGCAATTTCAGGACAAGCCTGAGAGGCGTTTGGCACATCATAAGTTCATAAAGTTTCGAGGTGGAAGGACGTATTTTCGTGTCTCTTAAATTCAACTTATCGAGCAAATTTTTTGGCAGAATTAGTTTTAATTAGTTCTACGTCTGAAAGGTTAGTTTGATTGATTCATATTCTATTATTATTCTTCGTATTTACCCACACCATGAATTAAATTGACAAAATTTTTGAAGGTTATATCTTGAAGCAGACACAGGTGGCCGCGTCGCCATTTTTAATAATAATAATAATAAATGAGAGAGAATTAATGTTCAGTATGGTTATACTGAAACAGTCCATGTCTACATGGGTGTGGTCTTTCCTGGATTATATTCTTGATTTGCTGTTTCGTCTTCGCCTTGTAACATCATGCAGTTAATTTTCGACCCATGAGCGAGTGCAACTGGATATTTATTTGAATTCCACTGAAATAAGAAATTCTCTGCTACAGTATTCCTCCTTGAGTTGGTTTACTTTTCACACCTGTAAACTTTGGAGTGTTACGTTCTATAATTAATTAAGGTGAGGATACTTGATATAATTAATTTTAATTGCTCTTTATTGATCTGTTTGCCACCGTATCTGTTTCAGATCGACGTTGGAGAAGACAAAGATGACCCAGAAGTTGAAATAGTTCTTTAGTTTGATTGATTCATATTCTATTATTATTCTTCGTATTTGCCCACAGCATAAATTAAATTGACAAAACTTTTAAAGTTTATATCTTGACACAGACATCAGGTGGTCACGTCGCCATTTTTAATGTTTTGTTATTTTATTCGTTTTTGACTGGTTTTTTATTACGTGTTTTTGTTTTACTTCATGTTTCATTTGTTTAATAGGAGTGTTTAATTCTTTTTTTTTTTTATTAATTTTCCGCATATATTTTGACTTTTATTTGAGAGTAAGGGAGAAAAGTGAAAAGGATTAAATTTTTAAATTATTTGCGTAACAGATATTAAATGAATTAATTAATAATTGTTTTTGTCCGTTTACACAGATTGGCCAACAATTGAGATAGATTGGAACTGATATCTTTGCTTACTGAAAAGATAAGTCGTCTCCTATGGTGTTTTAGCTGTTAACCTTTCATCTTGGAGGCTCTTGTAGTTAATTAAGGTGAGCATGCATACTATACTTTCTATAGGTAGTGTATTTATTTGATATTAACAAAGAAAAAGATTCAGCATTACTTTAACAATGTATCGTGCACATTATTTACTTAATACTTGATTATATCTGAACACTTTTTCATAAGATTTCATTTAACAGGAACATTAGAAGAACTCGGGATACCTTTAAATTATGAAATTATGGAGCATTGGTTGAATTAGTTCTCATTTGCCCTGCAAAGTAGTTGTGCCCATGGTTCTAAAGAAAGCATGAAAGTGCCTTTTTTTCATTGGGAACGAAGACAGTGTGCTGAAAAAGGATTTATGACAATGAAGTGGTATGTAACAGTATCAGTTAAAAATAGTAAATGATATCTTTAGATAACTTCAATTTCTTTGACATTTGTAATTTGTTTCAGTAGACAACTTTTAAACAACGTTTTCAGGAAGACAGAAGCAGAATTAATGTGGAACAGATCTTTCCATTAGTGTGCATGTTAACTGATTTATTCGATTTAAAAATGGTAATTAATTACTTTTTCTTGCCTGTTTCTATATAGATTGTTGTCCCACAAATGAGAAGGAATTGCAGTTAATTTTGGTGCTACTAAAACAACTGATGCTTTTGACGTCTTCACCTTGCAACATTATGCAGTTAATTTTTGCCGTAACAATGGGAGGCAATTGGAAATTAATTAATTTGGATGCAACCGAACAAGAAATTATCTGCAGTAGTATCCCTCCTAGATTTGGTTGATTTGCTCATCACACTGGTAGACTTTAGAACGCCACTTTCTACAATTAATTAAGGTGAGAATACATAACTTGATCAATATTAATTACTCTTTATTAATCTGTTATGAAATTTCTGTTAACAATTAGCTATTGTCAACAGTATAAATTGAGGTTATTGTGCATCAATATCACTTGACAGTTTTTATTTTCCACAGAATAAATTGATATTTATCATTGACGTATCTATAGAGTTTATCTATCTATGGTGTTTATCTAGCTATGAAGTTTATCTATCTATGGATTTTCTTTTTAACCTTTTGCTGTTGTCTATGTCATAAATTGAAGTGTTATTTGACGTTAATCTATGTCGTGATCTACGATTGTGATGTAGAATGGCGTAAAGTTGTTTGTTTATTTTTTAATTCAGCTATTTTACTTGCTTTTTGGTGCTTTTCTATTTGTGTTTCTTAATTGTAAGAGTAATTAATATGTTTTTTTGTCCATTTATGCAGGTTATACAATAAATGAGAGAGAATTAATGTTCAGTATTGTTATACTGAAACATAACATGTCTGCATGGGTGTGGTCTTTCCTGGATTATATTCTTGATTTGCTGTTTCGTCTTCGCCTTGTAACATCATGCAGTTAATTTTCGACCCATGAGCGAGTGCAACTGGATATTTATTTGAATTCCACTGAAATAAGAAATTCTCTGCTACAGTATTCCTCCTTGAGTTGGTTTACTTTTCACACCTGTAAACTTTGGAGTGTTACGTTCTATAATAATTAAGGTGAGGATACTTGATATAATTAATTTTAATTGCTCTTTATTGATCTGTTTGCCACCGTATCTGTTTCAGATCTACGTTGGAGAAGACAATGATGACCCTGTAGTTGAAATAGTTCATTGGTTTGATTGATTCATATTCTATTATTATTCTTCGTATTTGCCCACAGCATAAATTAAATTGACAAAACTTTTAAAGTTTATATCTTGACACAGACTCAGGTGGACACGTCGCCATTTTTAATGTTTTGTTATTTTATTCGTTTTTGACTGGTTTTTTATTACGTGTTTTTGTTTAACTTCATGTTTCATTTCTTTAATACGAGTGTTTAATTCTTTTTTTTTTTATTAATTTTCCGCTCAATGTCGTGATCTATGGTTGTGATGTAAAATGGCATAAAGTTGTTTGTTTATTTTTTAATTCAGCAATTTTACTTGCTTTTTGGTGCGTTTTTGTTGGTGTTTCTTAATTATAAATGTAATTAATATGTTTTTTTGTTCATTTGTGCAGGTTATACAATAAATAAGAGAATTATTGTTCAGTATGCTTATACTGAAACAGCCTATGTCTACATGGGTGTGGTCTTTCCTGAATTATATTCTTGATTTGCTGTTTCGTCTTCAACTTGTAATATCATGCAGTTAATTTTCGACTCATGAGCGAGTGCAACTGGATATTTGTTTGAATTCCACTGAAATAAGAAATTCTCTGCCACAGTATTCCTCCTTGAGTTGGTTTACTTTTCACACCTGTAAACTTTGAAATGTTACGTTCTATAATCAATTAAGGTGAGGATACTTGATATAATTAATTTTAATTGTTCTTTATTGATCTGTTTGCCACCGTATCTGTTTCAGATCGACGTTGGAGAAGACAAAGATGACCCTGTAGTTGAAATAGTTCTTTGGTATGATTGATTCATATTCTATTATTATTCTTCGTATTTGCTCACAGCATAAATTAAATTGACAAAACTTTTAAAGTTAATATCTTGACAGGGACATCAGGTGGCCACGTCGCCATTTTTTAATGTTTTGTTATTTTATTCGTTTTTGACTGGTTTTTTATTACGTGTTTTTGATTTACTTCATGTTTCATTTGTTTAATAAGTGTTTAGTTCTTTTTTTTTTTTATTAATTTTCCGCATATATTTTGACTTTTATTTGAGAGTAAGGGAGAAAAGTGAAAAGGATTAAATTTTTAAATTTCTTGCGTAACAGATGATATCTATTAAATGAATTAGTTAATAATTGTTGTCCGTTTACACAGATTGGCTAACAATTGAGAGAGATTGGAGCTGATATCTTTGCTTACTGAAAAGATAAGTCGGCTCCTATGGTGTTTTAGCTGTTAACCTTTCATCTTAGAGGCTCTTGTAGTTAATTAAGGTGAGCATGCATACTATACTTTCTGTAGGTAGTGTATTTATTTGATATTAACAAAGAAAAAGATTCAGCATTACTTTAACTATGTATCGTGCACATTATTTACTTAATACTTGATTATATCTGAACACTTTTTCGTAAGATTTCATTTAACAGGAACATTAGAAGAACTCCGGATACCTTTAAATTATGAAATTATGGAGCATTGGTTGAATTAGTTCTCATTTGCCCTGCAAAGTAGTTGTGCCCATGGTTCTAAAGAAAGCATGAAAGTGCCTTTTTTTCATTGGGAACGAAGACAGTGTGCTGAAAAAGGATTTATGACAATGAAGTGGTATGTAACAGTATCAGTTAAAAATAGTAAATGATATCTTTAGATAACTTCAATTTCTTAGACATTTGTAATTTGCTTCAGTAGACAACTTTTAAACAACGTTTCAGAAATGGCAGAAGCAGAATTAATGTGGAACAGATCTTTCCATTAGTGTGCATGTTACTGATTTATTCGATTTAAAAATGGTAATTAATTACTTTTTCTTGCCTGTTTCTATATAGATTGCTGTCCCACAAATGAGAAGGAATTGCAGTTAATTTTGGTGCTACTAAAACAACTGATGCTCTTGACGTCTTCACCTTGCAACATTATGCAGTTAATTTTTGCCGTAACAATGGGAGGCAATTGGAAATTAATTAATTTGGATGCAACCCGAACACGAAATTATCTGCAGTAGTATCCCTCCTAGATTTGGTTGATTTGCCCATCACACTGGTTGACATTAGAACGCCACTTTCTACAATTAATTAAGGTGAGAATACTTGACTTGATCAATATTAATTACTCTTTATTAATCTGTTATGAAATTTCTGTTAACAATTAGCTATTGTCAACAGTATAAATTGAGGTTATTATGCTTCAGTTTCACTTGACAGTTTTTATTTTCCACAGAATAAGTTGATATTATCATTGGTGTATCTATAGAGTTTATCTGCCTATCGTGTTTATCTATCTCTGAAGTTTATCTATCTATGGATTTTCTTTTTAACCTTTTTCTATTGTCTATGTTGTAAATTGACGTGTTATTTGACGTTAATCTATGTTGTGATCTATGGTTGTGATGTAAAATGGCGTAAAGTTGTTGTTTGTTTATTTTTTTCAGCTATTTTACTTGCTTTTTGGTGCGTTTTCATGTGTGTTTCTTAATTATAATTGTAATTAATATGTTTTTTGTCCATTTCTGCAGGTTATACAATAAATGAGAGAATTAATGTTAAGTATGCTTATACTGAAACAGCCTATGTCTACATGGGTGTGGTCTTTCCTGGATTATATTCTTGATTTGCTGTTTCGTCTTCAACTTGTAATATCATGCAGTTAATTTTCGACCCATGAGCGAGTGCAACTGGATATTTATTTGAATTCCACTGAAATAAGAAATTCTCTGCCACAGTATTCCTCCTTGAGTTGGTGTACTCTTCACACCTGTAAACTTTGGAGTGTTACGTTCTATAATGAATTAAGGTGAGGATACTTGATATAATTAATTTAAATTGCTCTTTATTGATCTGTTTGCTACTGTATCTGTTTCAGATCGACGTTGGAGAAAACAAAGATGACGCTGTAGTTGAAATAGTTCTTTGGTTTGATTGATTCATATTCTACTATTATTCTTCGTATTTGCCCACAGCATAAATTAAATTGACAAAACTTTTAAAGTTTATATCTTGACACAGACATCAGGTGGACACGTCGCCATTTTTAATGTTTTGTTATTTTATTCGTTTTTGACTGGTTTTTTATTACGTGTTTTTTTTACTTCATGTTTCATTTGTTTAGTAAGAGTGTTTAGTTCTTTTTTTTTTATGAATTTTCCGCATATATTTTGACTTTTATTTGAGAGTAAGGGAGAAAAGTGAAAAGCATTAAATTTTTAAATTTTAGACCCATGAGGCAGTGCAACTGGATATTTATTTGAATTCCACTGAAATAAGAAATTCTCTGCTACAGTATTCCTCCTTGAGTTGGTTTACTTTTCACACCTGTAAACTTTGGAGTGTTACGTTCTATAATTAATTAAGGTGAGGATACTTGATATAATTAATTTTAATTGTTCTTTATTGATCTGTTTGCCACCGTATCTGTTTCAGATCGACGTTGGAGAAGACAAAGATGACCCTGTAGTTGAAATAGTTCTTTGGTATGATTGATTCATATTCTATTATTATTCTTCGTATTTGCTCACAGCATAAATTAAATTGACAAAACTTTTAAAGTTAATATCTTGACAGGGACATCAGGTGGCCACGTCGCCATTTTTTAATGTTTTGTTATTTTATTCGTTTTTGACTGGTTTTTTATTACGTGTTTTTGATTTACTTCATGTTTCATTTGTTTAATAAGTGTTTAGTTCTTTTTTTTTTTTATTAATTTTCCGCATATATTTTGACTTTTATTTGAGAGTAAGGGAGAAAAGTGAAAAGGATTAAATTTTTAAATTTCTTGCGTAACAGATGATATCTATTAAATGAATTAGTTAATAATTGTTGTCCGTTTACACAGATTGGCTAACAATTGAGAGAGATTGGAGCTGATATCTTTGCTTACTGAAAAGATAAGTCGGCTCCTATGGTGTTTTAGCTGTTAACCTTTCATCTTAGAGGCTCTTGTAGTTAATTAAGGTGAGCATGCATACTATACTTTCTGTAGGTAGTGTATTTATTTGATATTAACAAAGAAAAAGATTCAGCATTACTTTAACAATGTATCGTGCACATTATTTACTTAATACTTGATTATATCTGAACACTTTTTCATAAGATTTCATTTAACAGGAACATTAGAAGAACTCGGGATACCTTTAAATTATGAAATTATGGAGCATTGGTTGAATTAGTTCTCATTTGCCCTGCAAAGTAGTTGTGCCCATGGTTCTAAAGAAAGCATGAAAGTGCCTTTTTTTCATTGGGAACGAAGACAGTGTGCTGAAAAAGGATTTATGACAATGAAGTGGTATGTAACAGTATCAGTTAAAAATAGTAAATGATATCTTTAGATAACTTCAATTTCTTTGACATTTGTAATTTGTTTCAGTAGACAACTTTTAAACAACGTTTTCAGGAAGACAGAAGCAGAATTAATGTGGAACAGATCTTTCCATTAGTGTGCATGTTAACTGATTTATTCGATTTAAAAATGGTAATTAATTACTTTTTCTTGCCTGTTTCTATATAGATTGCTGTCCCACAAATGAGAAGGAATTGCAGTTAATTTTGGTGCTACTAAAACAACTGATGCTCTTGACGTCTTCACCTTGCAACATTATGCAGTTAATTTTTGCCATAACAATGGGAGGCAATTGGAAATTAATTAATTTGGATGCAACCCGAACAAGAAATTATCTGCAATAGTATCCCTCCCAGATTTGGTTGATTTGCCCATCACACTGGTAGACATTAGAACGCCACTTTCTACAATTAATTAAGGTGAGAATACTTGACTTGATCAATATTAATTACTCTTTATTAATCTGTTATGAAATTTCTGTTAACAATTAGCTATTGTCAACAATATAAATTGAGGTTATTGTGCATCAATATCACTTGACAGTTTTTATTTTCCACAGAATAAATTGACATTTATCATCGATATATCTATGGAGTTTATCTATCTATGGATTTTCTTTTTAACCGTTTTCTGTTATCTATGTCGTAAATTAATGTCGTGTTATTTGACGTTAACCTATTTCGTGATCTATGGTTGTGATGTAAAATGGCGTAAAGTTGTTGTTCGTTTATTTTTTAATTCAGCTATTTTACTTGCTTTTTGGTGCGTTTTTGTTTGTGTTTCTTAATTATAAGTGTAATTAATATATTTTTTTTGTCCATTTCTGCAGGTTATGCAATAAATGAGTGAGAATTAATGTGCAGTTTGGTTATACTGAAACAGCCCAAGTCTGCAAGGGTGTGGTCTTTCCTGGATTATATTCTTGATTTGCTGTTTCGTCTTCGCCTTGTAACATCATGCAGTTAATTTTCAACCCATGAGTGAGAACAACTGGATATTTATTTGAATTCCACTGAAATAAGAAATTCTCTGCTACAGTATTCCTCCTTGAGTTGGTTTACTTTTCACACCTGTAAACTTTGGAGTGTTACGTTCTATAATCAATTAAGGTGAGGATACTTGATATCATTAATTTTAATTGCTCTTTATTGATCTGTTTGCCACCGTATCTGTTTCAGATCGACGTTGGAGAAGACAAAGATGACGCTGTAGATAAAATTTTATTGGTTTGATTGATTCATATTCTATTATTATTCTTCGTATTTGCCCACAGCATAAATTAAATTGACAAAACTTTTAAAGTTTATATCTTGACACAGACTCAGGTGGACACGTCGCCATTTTTAATGTTTTGTTATTTTATTCGTTTTTGACTGGTTTTTTATTACGTGTTTTTGTTTAACTTCATGTTTCATTTCTTTAATACGAGTGTTTAATTCTTTTTTTTTTTATTAATTTTCCGCTCAATGTCGTGATCTATGGTTGTGATGTAAAATGGCATAAAGTTGTTTGTTTATTTTTTAATTCAGCAATTTTACTTGCTTTTTGGTGCGTTTTTGTTGGTGTTTCTTAATTATAAATGTAATTAATATGTTTTTTTGTTCATTTGTGCAGGTTATACAATAAATAAGAGAATTATTGTTCAGTATGCTTATACTGAAACAGCCTATGTCTACATGGGTGTGGTCTTTCCTGGATTATATTCTTGATTTGCTGTTTCGTCTTCAACTTGTAATATCATGCAGTTAATTTTCGACCCATGAGCGAGTGCAACTGGATATTTATTTGAATTCCACTGAAATAAGAAATTCTCTGCCACAGTATTCCTCCTTGAGTTGGTGTACTCTTCACACCTGTAAACTTTGGAGTGTTACGTTCTATAATGAATTAAGGTGAGGATACTTGATATAATTAATTTAAATTGCTCTTTATTGATCTGTTTGCTACTGTATCTGTTTCAGATCGACGTTGGAGAAAACAAAGATGACGCTGTAGTTGAAATAGTTCTTTGGTTTGATTGATTCATATTCTACTATTATTCTTCGTATTTGCCCACAGCATAAATTAAATTGACAAAACTTTTAAAGTTAATATCTTGACAGGGACATCAGGTGGCCACGTCGCCATTTTTTAATGTTTTGTTATTTTATTCGTTTTTGACTGGTTTTTTATTACGTGTTTTTGATTTACTTCATGTTTCATTTGTTTAATAAGTGTTTAGTTCTTTTTTTTTTTTATTAATTTTCCGCATATATTTTGACTTTTATTTGAGAGTAAGGGAGAAAAGTGAAAAGGATTAAATTTTTAAATTTCTTGCGTAACAGATGATATCTATTAAATGAATTAGTTAATAATTGTTGTCCGTTTACACAGATTGGCTAACAATTGAGAGAGATTGGAGCTGATATCTTTGCTTACTGAAAAGATAAGTCGGCTCCTATGGTGTTTTAGCTGTTAACCTTTCATCTTAGAGGCTCTTGTAGTTAATTAAGGTGAGCATGCATACTATACTTTCTGTAGGTAGTGTATTTATTTGATATTAACAAAGAAAAAGATTCAGCATTACTTTAACTATGTATCGTGCACATTATTTACTTAATACTTGATTATATCTGAACACTTTTTCGTAAGATTTCATTTAACAGGAACATTAGAAGAACTCCGGATACCTTTAAATTATGAAATTATGGAGCATTGGTTGAATTAGTTCTCATTTGCCCTGCAAAGTAGTTGTGCCCATGGTTCTAAAGAAAGCATGAAAGTGCCTTTTTTTCATTGGGAACGAAGACAGTGTGCTGAAAAAGGATTTATGACAATGAAGTGGTATGTAACAGTATCAGTTAAAAATAGTAAATGATATCTTTAGATAACTTCAATTTCTTAGACATTTGTAATTTGCTTCAGTAGACAACTTTTAAACAACGTTTCAGAAATGGCAGAAGCAGAATTAATGTGGAACAGATCTTTCCATTAGTGTGCATGTTACTGATTTATTCGATTTAAAAATGGTAATTAATTACTTTTTCTTGCCTGTTTCTATATAGATTGCTGTCCCACAAATGAGAAGGAATTGCAGTTAATTTTGGTGCTACTAAAACAACTGATGCTCTTGACGTCTTCACCTTGCAACATTATGCAGTTAATTTTTGCCGTAACAATGGGAGGCAATTGGAAATTAATTAATTTGGATGCAACCCGAACACGAAATTATCTGCAGTAGTATCCCTCCTAGATTTGGTTGATTTGCCCATCACACTGGTTGACATTAGAACGCCACTTTCTACAATTAATTAAGGTGAGAATACTTGACTTGATCAATATTAATTACTCTTTATTAATCTGTTATGAAATTTCTGTTAACAATTAGCTATTGTCAACAGTATAAATTGAGGTTATTGTGCATCAATTTCACTTGATAGTTTTTATTTTCCACAGAATGAATTGATATTTATCATTGACGTATCTATAGAGTTTATCTAACTATGGAGTTTATCTATCTATGAAGTTTATCTATCTATGAAGTTCATCTATCTATGAAGTTCATCTATCTATGGAGTTTATCTATCTATGGATTTTCTTTTTAACCTTTTGCTGTTGTCTATGTCGTAAATTGACTTCGTGTAATTTGACGTTAATCTATGATAGTGATGTAAAATGGCGTAAAGTTGTTTGTTTATTTTTTAATTCAGCTATTTTACTTGCTTTTTGGTGCGTTTTTATTTGTTTGTTAATTATAATTGTAATTAATATGTTTTTTTGTCCATTTATGCAGGTTATACAATAAAGGAGAGTGAATTAATGTTCAGTATTGAAACAGCCCATGTCTACACGGGTGTGGTCTTTCCTGGATTATATTCTTGATTTGCTATTTCGTCTTCAAGTTGTAACATCATGCAGTTACTTTTCGACCCATGAGCGAGTGCAACTGGATATTTATTTGAATTCCACTGAAATAAGAAATTCTCTGCCACAGTATTCCTCCTTGAGTTGGTTTGCTTTTCACACCTGTAAACTTTGGAGTGTTACGTTCTATAATCAATTAAGGTGAGGATACTTGATATAATTAATTTTAATTGCTCTTTATTGATCTGTTTGCCACCGTATCTGTTTCAGATCGACGTTGGAGAAGACAAAGATGACCCAGTAGTTGAAATAGTTGTTTGGTTTGATTGATTCATATTCTATTATTATTCTTCGTATTTGCCCACAGCATAAATTAAATTGACAAAACTTTTAAAGTTTATATCTTGACACAGACATCAGGTGGTCACGTCGCCATTTTTAATGTTTTGTTATTTTATTCGTTTTTGACTGGT